TGAACCTGCTATACGTGCCTGGTATGTTGAGAATGTGTTCTAGTATATATCGTCGGTGTTCCATAGCTCTCGGTCGTGAGGTTTAGAGTCTTGCTAAGTAGTAATTAGTAAAGTTGAGTAATTTGCCGCATGGCTTATGATCCACGTGTTACTTTGCGAGAAATATAGAAGGAAATGATTGGAATTGTGTTGAATTGGTAGTGTATAAGAAACCCGACTTTGAGAGTGCAAGAGGGAATTGATATAGAGCCTGCTATGATCAGAGGAATACTAATGTACAAGTCTTTAGGTGCCAGCGCCGGGACAGCTGGTCCCGCTTGTTGGTTTCGGTACCCACGACAGTGGTGTTCCGATTGTTGGCTCGGCCGGTAGCCATGACATTGGTGTTCTATTGTGCACGTCTTTTAAGTGTGTATGCAACTGGGACCTGTTATGGAAACGTTCATGGCAGTTGGAACAACCATGGCGGAGCAACTCACCTGATGCCACCAGTGGTGCTGCTGTGCGGATCGGAAGTTCATATCCTGGAGTATGTAATGCAGATTGGTGTTTGAGAGAAGAAGAAGGAGTCCAGCTTCCCGAAAAATCCTTACTCTGCCAAGACTCCAGGGTGCGCAAGCACGTACTCGCATGTTTCTCGTACGTCTTCTTAGTATGAAACTTGGCGCCGCAAACTTCACAACGGAAATCAAACTGCTCGACATGCTCCTCTAAAGAGTGTTTGTAGACGAAGCTGTGATCGCAGTAGCGGCAATTCCACTTCCTCTCTCCCAAAGATGCATGGTGGTGTTTCCTGACGTGGATCGATAGGTTAATCTCGGTTTTGAAGCGTCTGCGGCACCGTTTGCCGATGTGTGGGGGGCACCTATAGGGGAAATTTGGGTGGTGCATTTCCTTATTGTGCTCTTTCATCTCGTCGCTTGAGATATGACCGCCGCACTTGTCGCATGGCAACAGCTCTACCCGCTCACCATCGTTCTTTTCTGTCTCCACCTGGGACAAAGGTGCAGAGTCAAGCTGGTCGCCCTCGTCTATCTCCATCGCGGGCGTGCCTGGTCGGCAAGGTGAAAATTGGAAATCCATTTGATCTTCCTGTGAGAGTGGAGAACTCATATTATCAAGTCTAGATATTATACGAAAGTCTAGAAACTATATGGAAGCTTGCAAGGGCAGGTGATAAGTGTCAAAATGTTGGACTGGGAACAGCTGGTGGGCATACAACTCAGATATATATAAATCATTGGATCTGTATATTTCTGTTCTGTTTATGTCTAAGCTGTATCCTCAAAGATAACCGCTTTCATTGCCCCAAGTGACAAAGCATCGGAAATTGACTCCAACATTATATCTGAAACTCTGAAACTCTGTCGCTAATGTTGTTCGCAACTTAGGTAGGGTTTATCCTTACTAACGATACATTAATTAGCACATGTCTAAAATGAGTACAGTTTGACTTTGTTGAATATCTTGCTTTGGTTAGTAATTGTATGGAGCGGAGTGTAATATACTAGTATTCCTAATCTAGTAAAATGAAACTCTTACAAATGCTAGCTGCACTATACACTGTCTACTACTTAGGCGACAAAGGAAATTGTTCGAACAATGTGATTGTATTGATCACAAAGAAGCATCGAGGTCAAATAAAGAAGTTGGGAAAACACAAGAAACATGATTGTCACAATAGACATTATGTACGCAAAATTGTTGATGAACAATAGTTACCATTGGTTGGTAATGTACAAAACAAAAGGATGCGTCTAAAATACTGTTAGCAAGTGAAAAGATTGCTAGACAAATGCCAATGAGAACAACAAGATTAGAGATACCTGTAATAGCGACCAATACTATGCATAATAAGGCCAAGTAAAAGACCCTATTTGTTCAGCAATAATTGAAATAAAGAAAATGTGATATTTCGAAGTAAGTTATTACTTAAAAATATAAACTGTCGGGCAAAACCCACTCATTCATGATAAGTGTTGGGCAGCAAGGCGGGGTGGGGCACTTCTGGAAAAGGGGTTAAGCGAGCATCATTCACGACTTAGACACATACCTGTGCTACCACTCTAATATGGCAAGGAAATAGGTAGCTTCCGTCATCTTAATTTGACACTGCTATGATTTATCTAGTTTTCTATTTGGAGAGCAGTCGTTTTATTAAGGTATTTCGCGAATAATTTCCGACCATTACACTCTAGAACCCAAATTCCCCTCAACTTATTTGATGGCAAACTTACTCCTAGCCCCCAGCTTCGCGCCGAACAGCCAAAGAGTCCACAAACATCCGCAACATACAATTGTCAATCCAGAAAGTAAGCTAACTCCGCCATCAACGCCTAGTTTCTCGAACATCGGAGGTGCAAACAGAATAGCTGCAGCAGCAAACAAACTCCTCGCAAGTCCATTGGCAGCAAGTAATGAAGCTGCGTACTTTGGATAGCAAAGCGGAACATAGATAAACAAGCACTGCATTGTAACGTAAATTCCCATGTTAGTCAAAGCTACACCAACCAAGCTTATAGCCCAATGGACATCCGATCTACTTGTGAAGGCTGATAATTAAGACTAATATCAGCATTGTATTTACACTAAAATGGCTGGAACAAGGTGAAGAACATACCGAAGATGAATAGTCCGATAGGAGTGATGAAACACGGAAAGAGTCCTATCTTCAATAGATCTTCCGGTGCACCCATCCCTGAATTTTTGAGCTTGCTCTCAACCCTGTATCGGACATGCAGCATGTATAGTGGAACCACAATTAACAAAGCGACAAACACGGCAAGGAAGGCGAGCCCCTGGCTTCCGCTAGAAAATCCATATATGTTTTGGTAAACCAGCGGGAACGATTCGAAGAATGTATAGACTAGAGCATACACTAAACCCGCATAGAATGTGCTGAATAGCACAGCTATTCAATTCGAGAGTCAGCAAATGTCCAATAATTGCGAGCGTGGGGTCGATTTTATGCATGCCGAGATGTTAGGTCCCATAGAGTAAGCCATCAACTCGTGGCACAATTCATTGCAAATGCATTGGAAATTGGATTACCTGGGTCTTGAAGATTAATCTCCCACTATACACAAAAGATCAGAACAGGCTTCTCATTATAGTGCCAGTAAAGGGACGTTAATTCACAATCACACATGACTCTGCGGTCTTGCGGTTCATGACAAGGTATTTTGAAGAGTCATCAAGGATACTCACAGGTTTCATCAAGGCCTCCAAAACCATATTTTTCACTGATATGCTGACCTGGTTCATCTCAGATTGAGATTTCAGATTCATGTTACCAGTCGCATGTCGAAGGCGCCGAGCTCGGTGTAACAGAATCGTAGTGGTGGAAGTTTCGGGCAATGCAATGAACATTAGAATGGTGACCGGTCCAGAAAGCCACAAGATTTCACACTGGCTCCATCTCCATCCCTCCACTGGGGTACTGTAACTCGAGAGCAGAGGACCAAACGAGGGACCACAGGTCGCTGGCGAATTTAATCAGCATTTTGCCTTTGGGTAAAATCGAGTTCTTGATTACCGATGCCAGCCCATACGGCCATAAGATAAGGCATTTTGCGACTGGGAAACTGCCATATTGTATTAAGATATGAATAGAGCAAGGCAGTTTAGGACAAAGAGAACTCACCATGTCTTGAAAAGAGGCCCCGGCAGTTGCCAAACAAGGAGAACCTATATACCTATGAGAAAGCTACTTGTATTGGCAGAAGGCCAAGACAAACCGAAGAAGCCTAGCAAAAACCGCAGAACCAATAGCCCCGCGAAATTATTAACGAGTGCTGTAGGAATAAGCAAGACCACGAATATAGTGCATGTAACAATGTAAGGTGCAGTACGACCTATGACTGGGATTCTAAAAGTGATTTAGCTCGCGTAGTCAATATGGAATGGAAACAGCTCGCTCACTCGCTCAGCGGAGAGAATAACATTGGGCCAAGCCCATCTGTCAACACAAAGTCAGCAAAGGCAAGACAAGCAGGATCTAGAAGGTATATAAAAGCAATTACGTAAAGTGCCAATCCCAGAGAAGCTGCTGTTTCACCAACTCCAAACTCCTCCATGACTCCCCGCTCACTTGGAACATATATTGCGGATCCGACATATACCGCAGATGTGTATAAGCTAAGCGGCGTGAGTCTTCTAGTCTTGGGAAGGGAGGATTGGCACTCGTTACCAGATCAAGAGGCCCACGAAGTATTTCTTGAACTCACTCCAATTTTGCGGGTTTTCAGGGTCATCATCTCCGTACCAACCAACAATTATTGTACTATTCGGTGTCTTCAATGGATTGATGGGACCGCCGTTGGTGGGGTGCATATACTCGATATCTTCCTCTTGGCTCTGCTTCTAATGATCTCCCACGTTTCTTGAGGCTGTTGTCTCTAATTGAGAGAGATATCTATGAATGTCAAAGTCAGGAGAATCTTCAAGATAGCGAAGCATCTTGTGGCCGGTAATAAAGCGGACGGCATGGCCCAATGTAGAATCGCGAAGTGTGTCCCTCATCGCGAAGCCTGAATTGGTGATAGCTAGATTCAAAATAAAGATATGTCTGGAGAAAAGAAGAAGAGTTTGAGGGAGCTCTGGTCTTCAATCACTTCCTTTAAGCAAAGGTACGCATTTGATTTACCTTTGCAATCCTCAAGGTGTAAACAGGGGATGTTTACTCAGTGATTAACCTTGACAAACTTCAATTACTTCCGTAATGGCAGGCAAGATTCAGACTTATCGGAAACCCCCTAGTTTACAATTAATATCCAAACACAATAATTCGAGGTCTCAATTTAGTTACTTGTCGCTTAACAAGGGGCTCGCTTCCCTAACCATCTCCATATTTACTGACCCACATTTCACGGAACTCCTTGAAATGATCCACGAGACAACACACACGAATAAAGACAGACAACATTCCCCTCGGACACCGCGAACGGAGTATTTTTGTTGAACAGTCTCTAGCTAGCATACGGTGTTCTCATCTAGCAACCATGGAGAACATCACCAGGTCCCAATTTGTGTGCGCTCGCTGCAGCAAATCCTTTGAAACTGGTGAGTCCCGGCCCAGCCTCCTAACTTTTCACCACCCTAATCGCAACTCAAGCTAATTGAGCATAGAGACAACGTACAAGAGGCACGGCTACTACTGCCGCTCAAGGCAGATCAGCCAGAGGAATTCGCGAAAACGGTCCTGCGCCGCATGCACCAAAGCAAAGACCCGGTGCGATTCAAAGCACCCAACATGCTCGACTTGCATAGCTAGATGCATCACTTGCCAGTATTCCAAGGAGACTCTGCAAGGCAACAAGGCCTCGCAACCACATACCTCCGTTGCCAGCACTAGGGCTAAAGATGTGGTGTTCTGTGACAGCCTCTCCATGCCGCCAGCTGCAGATGAAGAAATGCCAAGTAACGAATTGAGCTATGAGCAACTTGGCTTTCTCAGCCCACGAATGACCGAGGGATCTCGACCACATGAAGCGTACCTTCACGCACAGACAGACCTCGCAGCTTTTTCTATGTTTGACTCTAATGCCAATCCATTCGATTGGGTTTGCGATAGCAGCACGGGACTAGGTTTCAACCCATCTCTTGGAGCAAGCTTGTCGTTCTCTTCTATGCCTCAAGTATACGAAACCCCTATTACTCTTTCACAGAGAGCTTCTAATACCATACCTCCGTCACCGTCAGAAAGTCTCATTACGAGATCCCTAGCGCCAAGATCTTGGGGAAAGACGGGTGCGCAGATCAGTGCTTTGCTTCTAACACGCATACTTTCAGCGTATCCGGCGATGGTGATGCGCAAAGAGACTTTTCCACCCTTCATCCACCCAGTCTGCTTCACCGACTGCGGTGAAATCAAAGGCTCGTTCCCAGAAGCATTAGTAAATTGCATGACTATAGCTCGGATGTTCGTGAACCGCGGTAAAGAACCCACCAAATTCATGTGGAGGACCATCAGAATGGAGCAGGAGAGAATGTGGTTTGAGGTTCGTGCAAGAGTTTAGCATATTGAAGTAGCATATTGAAGTATGAATTAGAATTACTAATCTCTATCCTCAAGTACCACGATTTCGACAACTGGGAGCTTCTTGCTTCTGCACAAGCTCTTATGATATATACTCTCATGCGGATGATAGAGGGCCCCAACGAAGACAATGACTTCGACGCCCCACTATTGCTGTCGCTCAATGTTTGTAGCCTTCCCAATATGCCAGATTGAATGACTTCTCACGAATGCATGCAATAGGTAGTATCTTCAACGCTATCGGAAAGATTCGGTGGAGATGAGTTGAAGCAAGCACCGAGTGGGGACCAACAAGATTGGCAGGAGTGGATTTTCCACGAGTCTTGGAGAAGGCCAGTTACTACACACAAAGGCTATCGAAAAAAAAAGGTTTGCTGACAACGAGGCAATAGGATGGATACATTCGCGAGGATTCTGAATATGCTTATAGAAATCGACACTGCCGTGAGATGTTCCCCACTCCAGGGGTTTATCATATGTCCACTGCCGACGAAGAAAGTACTTTGGGAGGCCCGTGATGCTTCGAGTTGGAGAGTAGAATTTGATGCGACTCTGAAAGAAAGAGAACTGTTTGGAGTATCGACTGATGGCCAGCTGACGAAGATGCAAATTGGATCTGGGGGAATAAGCACCACTGCATCTGATTGGGGAAAGTGGTATGCTGAGATGGATTCTTTCGGTACTTTGATAATGATTGCCGCCTCCCTTTTGTGAAGAACTAGCAGACCGTTGTATGTAGATAGCAGGTCTTGGGATTACAAACCCCGTGGAAAGAAAGTTTTGTACTGTTTATCCGGTGGATATCAGGCGGAACTGTAAGAAGAAATTATCCAAAAATGAAATGTGGAATGTCAGTTTCTTTCACGGTACTCCGTGAATAGTCTTCCTGATATAGAAATCAGCCACAATACACGACATCTGGTTACGCCTCTTGATTGTACAGTACTAGCCAGTGACAAGTTTAATCACTGGCTCAGACAAAGTCAAAGCCCACGGACCGCTGAATCTCAAAGAAGTACAAAAGAGCATCTGGATCAGAATAAACCTCACACCAAAACCCTTCAATCCTCTCACCCCGCTATACCCACCCACAGCACCACACCGCAAATGTCATCGACCGCCCCCTTCCCATCCTTCACCAAAACCTGGCACACCACAACCTACCCCTCCATCTCTCCCACCAACCTCACCCTTTCCGCAGCTGGCAAGACCATCCTAATAACTGGCGCCGGCACCGGAATCGGCGCCCGAGCCGTGCGCTCCTTCGCGGCAGCAGGCGCCTCATCCATAGGAATCCTAAGCCGTACCTCTGCGCACCTACACTCAGTCAAGAACGCAGTAGAGAAAGAATTCCCCCATGTTAAGATCTGCATCCTCGTAGCGGACATCACTCAAAAATCCGAAGTCGACAATGCTTTTTCCGAACTTACCGCGTTTGCAGGAGGAGGGATTCACGTTTTGGTGAATAACGCCGGGTATGGGGAAAGGGATCCGTTGATCAGAGACGCGGAGCCGGATGCGTGGATGAAGGCTATGGAGGTGAATGTCAGAGGAAGTCTCATTGTAGCTGGTGCGTTTGTACGTTCTGCAGCGGAGGAGGCAGTTGTGATAAACGTGACGTCGTTTATTGGTTACAGGCCTATTGCCGGATACTCGTCATACGCGGCTTCGAAAGCGGCTGCGGTTGTGCTGTTCGATATGCTGCAGATGGAGAATCCAGAACTTAGAGTTGCGAATGTGCACCCGGGGATTGTTGATACGGGTATGACTAGAAGAGCCGGTGGGGTGGGTCAAGATGATAGTAAGTTTAATCTCTCTTCTCAACCCAATCTCACATGAAAAATATGCATGGTCTATACTAAATACTCCCAGTATCGCTTGCGGCTGACTTCATGGTCTGGCTCGCCAGCGCGGAAGCCGCGTTTATGAAAGGAAAGTACGTCTGGGCTAATTGGGATGTTGATGAATTAAAGGCGAGGGCAAACGAAATATCAGGCAGTAATTTGTTAAAGATGACGCTGGAGGGATGGCAAGGTTAAATAAATACTGGTTGTTGAGCTTTGCTCGGAAAATTGTAGCTTAATTATTGCCTGATTGGTTGGTTTAGGACCTAGTAAATGGGATTAAATGCCTCGACTACCCGGACTGAATTATCCCTTTTGTTTTCTCTTAGTATTGACATACGACATTGACACTTGTTGAATTTCATTGCGGGCAAAAATATGATTGAGTCGGTCTCAATCCTTCCAAGAGAGTAATTTTCAGTATGTTTATTCACGCTGCCTCAACACCCCCATAATAAATGAAGTGAAAAATTGAAGATTTATAAGCGAGTTATATTAATATTAGGGGAAGGAGCTACCCTTCACCATTACCACCACCCGTATAATACAATAGCATCAGATCATAAAAGGTCGTAACATTCATATCAGGCATCTAACCCATATCTATCGCCTCTTGCGATACATATCCCTATATGCATGCGCCTCAAAACTCCTATCCCAGACGCAGAATGAATGCAAAAAAACACCGCTTTCTTTTTTATAAACTCCCAAGCTCATGTCAATTGTACAAGGCGCCATGCTTATGTGACCGTTGCGTCTGATTTTGCTTTTATACCGAATCAGAGTTCGTTAACCACATCTCTGATGCTCCACCGCCAGAGATCACTCCCGCGGTTCTTTTCAGCGCCGACCCACTTATCGCACTTCCGTCTCCAGCGCTCTTCTTCTTCACGTTGCCTTCTGACGAACTCGGGCCCTACATCAAACTCTTCACCCACAAGCCAGTCATCCTTGAGCGCACTGGCACCTTCGCTCTTGCGGCCTCCAGCCTCGTCGACTTCTTTGCTTGGGGAGTCTTCAAGATCGGGGACGTCTTTGAAGACATCCTCATCATCGTCAAAAGCATCGAAGCCATCCATGGTATCACCTGCATCGCTTTTGTTCTTTGGTTCGGTGGCGGGCATTTTGAGCCAGCACATGCGTTGAGGATCGAAGACCATGCCGCCGACAACCTGGACGCCTTGTGAAGAGTTGACGTTTTGTATGAGGGCAGGTCGAGGTGTGGTATTCTCTTTTTCGCGATAGATATTTGGGCCATCTTTGAGTGCATTGGAAGGTACTGGTGCAGGGGATGGTGACGAGGCAGGCGCGTCGAAAGGAGTAAGCTCGTTTTCATTACCTTCCCACCGGAAAGTATACGGGTTGTAATACATTCCTTTGATAGCTGTATTCGTTAGTGAGAGACAACGGAGAAGTTCAAAGAAACTTACATTTGGGATTATTGAGGTTGCCTAGGGGTTTGATGAGTTGAGGCTTTTGTGGAGGGCCTTTGCTCTTCTTTGATCTGACGGATTGTGCATTCACAGCGCTTAGACCCGTCGTTGCCGATAATTTGGTTTTCCATTGATTTGTGAGCGTAGCTAGAGGAGCTCCTGCGGCTGATGGAGCGCGCTGTGCTTGCGCCCGCTCCCTGGCCATACGGCTGGCATTAGTATCACGTGCGAACCGGGGGAGGTCATCTCGCGACTTGGCCGGCGAAAAGGGTGTGAGAGGAGCAGGAGTATTCGTCCGCGACGGCAGAGCGTCTTGGTGGATCTTGGTTCGTAGGATTGATTGTTTGGGCGGACCACGACCGATAGGTTCTTTAACAAACTTCTGTTCCGTGTCACGACTTGTTGGGAGATCGTCAAATCCATCTAGTTCATAGCCATCGCCGAAATGCCTTCGACGCAAGGGTTTCGTTAATTGTCGCTTCGAGGCTGCATCGCGAGTCAATGCTTCGGCACCCCTGGGATTCCGCCGCGGGCTAGGCGACCTCATTGCCGACCTCGAAACAGCCCGCGACGTTGGACGAAGTTCAGTGCTGTTTGTCGAGGACTCGGAATCATGCCGACGGAAATGACGGGTGGTTTTGATAGTAACGTGTTGGGATTGAGATGATGAGGCACCGGCGGGTAGGAATGGTAATGGGTTCTTTCGGACGTGAGCCAAACTTGATTCAGCTCCAGAGCGATCCCGTTCAGTTGGCGTCTTGGGCCGAGACACCGAAGTTGGTCGACTGCTGGTATCCGTACGAGACGGGGGTCTCTCGTAACGTGATGCTATTGGTTTCGCAGGCGACTGGGGATACGATCGCATGGTTGGCATAGACCGTTTGAGCTTCAGCAGCTGCGCATTGGTCGTCGTCGGTTCATTGCGGAGGCCTGTAATTGATGATTTGGAAGCTAGGTCGCGTCTTCGAGGTGTGGAGGGTAGCGGTAAGGAGTGAGTTGAGGATGATGGCGTCGTAGGGGTTGCAATACTAGTAACGGATGAATGTGCTGAGTGGCCCCCAAGTCTGGATTGAGACCTGCGGTTGAGTTTAGGCATAGGTCCTCCACTTTCCGAGACTGGTTCGAGAGAGGAAGGTTGGCGTTCATGCCCACCGAGTGGACGAGGAAGTCGCGATCCGTTAGTGGAAGAAGGCTTGTTGGTGAAGGTTAATGAGACTGCCGTTTTCGGCCGAGTAGGACTCGTCTGGCGAGTCGTTTTCATCTTTATGTTTCGATTTAAGGTGAGTTTACTAGAATCAAAGACATCCCCATCTCCAATCTCAAGACCTGAGAGGAAATCATCTTTGACTTCTGCGCGCTTCGCAGCTTGTTTCTCGCTGGATTGGTGGTCAGGTGAGCGATCTTGTTGCCTCCTTTTGAGAATGTCATCAAACGGAATGGGGCCAGAAGGTAGAACAAGTCCATCGAGACCTTCGTCTTCACTTTCGATGGTCAGTGAGCTCGCAACACTCGGGCTCAATGCAGAGATGGAGGAGCTTCTGTTAGAATGACCATCTCTCCTGGTTCCACCGAAACGTGTTCCGAGACTACCTTCTCCCCATTCTTCAAAGTCATCCTCCAAGCTGATAGGTGTCCTCGGAATTTCCTTCCGAGCAGACAGCCTAAGAGGTCCTCCGCCCGAGGGAAGCTGAAAATCTCGCTCAAAATCATCATCGATATCTACACTCTCCTGATTCTTCTGTGGCGTTGGTGGGGTGATGAGTGGTATTAATTTGGGCCCCTGGCGAATTTTAGGTACTTTGATAGTAGCAGCATTATCCCCGAAGAAATCGTCCTCGTCTTGATCCTTAAAGCGTTCAAGTAAATTTCTAGACGCTGGCTTTGCCTTTAGTTCTGGCCGAGGGCTGATGTTGAACATCGGAGCAGGCCTCAACGGTTTGGCTGGACTGGCATTCACAGATCCACTGCTAACCTGTCGCAAAGCATCGGGGAAGTTCGAGCCGTCCATTTGCTTGATCTTCAAGCCACCCTCTCCAGGTAGCTCTAGATCACCATCGTCCCAATCGTCCTGTATGATCTTCTTAATTTTCCTTCCTCCTAGTCGCTTGATTGTTCCTCCCATCAGGGCCGAGGAAGGGACATTTTGTGGTATGGGTATCCCAGCTCTCTTGGCTGTTGCAATTGCATCTGTGGCATCATCTCCGGGTAGGTGAACTTGCTTGTCCTCATCGCCATGACTCGATTCGAAATCGGACCGTATTGACAGTCGTGATGAGATAGAATCTCGGTTGTGTGATGCCGAAGTAGTAGCCAATGAAGCGCTTCGAAAAGTGAAGTCGTCTCCTCCGATGTCCAAGTCGTCGTCATCCCAGCTCTCGATCGGCTCCTCCACGACCGCCTTTCGCGGCTTCAAAGTCAACTGATCCATTATTCGGGGCGTTAGTTGTAGAATTGTATTAAAGAAGTAGTGTCGAATGTGTTTGTAGTTTCGTACAGGTGAATCGAGGGCTCTCAGAAAATTTCAAACGAGAGTAGCACGATCGCACATGTGCTTATGGTCGTAAATTCATGGTCGTATGCTCGTGAAAGGTCGTGATAGGTGCTTTGTATTGCTACAGAATCGCTGGTGCTATATGAGCACTTGCGCAGTCTTTTTCCGATTTTCCGAGTTGTTGAGGTCGTTTGCTGGCAAATTCGTACGTGGTGTTGAATGTTTTCCCACCGCTAATCTGATCGCGCTGCGCAACGCCCACCGGGCAAAGCGTGTGAGGTAAAATGGCGCGCGAGTATATCGTTCGATGGTCGAAGAAGGTGCAGAAGCAGAGTGCAGGACGAGATGCAGCCGGTTCGAAAAAATTGGGGGTTGGGTGCTGTGGTCTTTGGCACTTTGAAGAGGTTGGAGATGGCTGAGCTAGTGATTCGTATCGATACGGTAGGCGGAAAGCTTTGCCCCGCAATTCTCGCGTATGTTTGGCGTTTCTTCGGTACGACTACACGTCTTCCCAGGCACACTTCATGGATGACCATGACCATGACCACGACCATCCCAGAAAAGTCTCTTATGGTAAAGGATTTTGATTTCTAAAATCCATCCTCCAATCTCGCCTTGTTTCATATAACATCATTATATCACAACTGCTTCCAAACTCCCCCTTCTTTCCCTCCAGCCATGGCCCTGGAAAGCCCAGTGCTGCTGAGACTTCCCCGCGGCCTCGACCAAACCGAGTTTGTCCTCCTTCATATATCTTCCGAAGGCCACAGGCCACTTGATCTCAAGCTTGTTGGGACGGAAAATGAAACTGTTTTCAAGATTATATGTAAGGATCGCCCATCTGCACGCCTGCCCGCCTCGGCCCTACCCTTGGCCCCTTCAATTTCATGCGTTATCTCGGGAGCTAATCAAGGGTCGCCATCTTAGTAGAGCACGATCGAACCTCATCTCTCAAGGACTCCAAGTCAAAACTCAATCAGGAACAATGGGACGCGGTATTATCTACGATTTTGCTTGGCGCAGTGCTAGAAGAGGAGCACAAGGCTATTTTACAAGGCGTGGAGGCTGTTGCGAAAGTCGAGTCCGGGGAGAATAGACTATCCATCACTATACAAAGGCGCATCGAGGGGATCACGGTATATTGTCATAGCTCTTATCATATCAAGGATCGTGCTCTAATATCCGGCAGCAACGTCTCGGTTCCCTAATCCTGCAAGAAACCGAAGATGAAGAACCCGACCTCTTCGAATGGTGTGGACAGGCTGTTGAATCGAAGAGAATATCTACCACGGAATTGCAGGCATTAAAGTCGATCATAAAATCCAAGGACGAACAATTCAAAAAACTCGAGGAGAGCTTTGCAGAACTGGTTGACCTGAAGAATGGGCATGAGAAATCACTATTCGAAAAGTTTTCCTTGTTACTAAATGAAAAGAAACTCAAGATTAGAGACCAGCAGCGTTTACTAGCCAGCTCGAATGTCGATCCTGCCAAACTGGAAGCTTTAGAGGCAATCAGAAGAGATTCCGGATCACGGTCTGCTGGGCCGTCGAGGAAGGGTATGCATTTTTTCCCCTTATCCGCTTGTTTCCTTATCCAAATATATTTGGTTTTCAACATAGATGTCATGGTATTTCTCAGATAGTCAAAGATGTTCCCGAACTCCATGACTCTTTACTGACTTTGCGAACTTGCAGGTAAACGGAAGGCCGACGAAAACATAGAGGAGAATGAGTCAGATGAAGGATTTGAGAAAATGGATGTCGACCAGGAACCACCGCATGATTCGGAAGACGAAGACCAAAGACAAAGAACACCTGATGCAGAATCGACAGCGGATGAAACAGAGTCAGAAGGTGAAGCACCACCGTCATCTCCACCTAGGAGAAAGACTGTTGAGACGAAAAGCGGTGGTCAGACTACAGTACAGTATGCATATTTTCGAGCATTGTGAAAGTCTCGGGAGCTCTGAACTTTTACAGATATTCCAGAGTCAACATCCTTCTTGTGCCTAGCAATTCTGACTCACTTTTAGGTCCTCATCTAGCACGGTAGAGGCTGACGCTCCTCCGTCAAAACGAAATCTGCCGGAGCGGAGTAATGTCTCAAAAGCAGTGAGACATTCTCCGCCACCCAAATCTGCACCTATTCTTGATGGATCGGAGACTGAGTCGGACGATGACGAATTATGATAATTACGAGGTTAATGAGTTATGTTCACGATATTTGGCATGCACAGTACAAGTCTACCTAAGTGATAGTGCTAAGTAGTGCCCTAAGCATGATTTGCATTGAAGTTGCCCTCTTGAGACGCAGACATCCCTACTAAGAATAAAGCAGTATCATATGATGTCCCTCCTTTCCCCGAAATGCATCCATCATTCTCAGACCACCTAACGGAGTTACAAGAAGCATTTTGAAGGGTGACGACAGTACGCAGCCCATTAATAACGTCAACATTTCATGCCAATCTCCCTCGAAGTCTCATAATCGCTCAGCTGAACTAGGACATCTAATATCTCACAGCCATTTATTAGTACCCCACCATACTTCCTTCACTCACTCACGCACTATACACAGTCTCCCCACGGACAAACACATACCCGCAGCATTCACCAACACTCCACTTCCACTACCACTTCACTATATAAATAAATACTGCAACATGCCGTCACCTCAACCCATGCCATACCATCTTTCCCAACGCCCCCCTCCACCTCTAGCCTTATGAAACCGCGCATGAGTGTGTTGACCACTACGAATACGTCCAAACTCCAGAGTCAGAACCACAATCTCTAAACTTCAAACCACATTCTTCCTTCTCTTACACTTCAAAGCCCCGCGCCCATTCATCCAAAGGTCGATGGTCCAGTAACCACCTCCCAACCTGCTTCTGCATTAAATCAGCCTTCGCTATCCCAGCAAGCAAAATAGCATCAAATGAGCAGTCGTCAAAACATACCTGGTACTTACAGCTGTGAACTACATCATACCCGTCAATTTCATAATTGTCGGCGCTGGAATCTCCCGTGATGCCTTCGAGCGTCACATCGCTTTGGCATGCAACAGTCTGTCGCAGATAATCGAAGCAGTGCATGATGTGATCAAGCTGATCCAGTACCGGCGTAAACGTCTCATTCGTGTGGCTTTGGCTTTGGCTTTCTTGCAACTCCGAAGCAGCATAGGCTGCTGGAAACGGGCTTTCGTCTCGTATAAGCTGCGAGAATTGCTTGCGGAGCGTTTTCTAGAAGTGGTCAATTGCATGAGCAAAGTAGGTTTGCACAGTATATTCCGTGTAGGTAGATGGGAATATGATTGCTGAGATGCATATGGACATAGTTGCACTGACATACCAAGCAATGATGTTGGTGTCCCCAAGTAGTGATATATACCTCAGCCACCTCTTCCAGTGCTGGGATTCCAGGTGGCAGATGATATGCTGTCGGATGGGCAATCTGCACCCATCCCGTAACGCCCGGCAGAGAGTCACTCCACAGAAGATCAGATTCGGGATTCGAAAGCGTCTACATGGATTTGTTCCTCACAATCGCTACGGTCTCGGACGAAATTGTTTTGGGGGTCTGGTTTAGCAGAGCTGTCGAAGAAGGTTTCTTGAACGGTGTGTGGGCAATTAATCACTTACATTTTGGATGGTATTGGGTCTGTGAGGCTTGCGGTGATAGCCAGAGGTAGGCCTGGAGGATGTTGATTGCCAGAAGAATGATGGATATATATATGTAGAGAGAGCTCGGAAAACTATGTTGCAAATATCTGAGCTTCGGTGTACGCAAATCTTCAGCTTTGAGCAGAAGCTGTTCGTGAAGCTCTGAGGTACATTCCTCAGGCTTTTCAGTATAAAGAAGATCCATCACTCAGCAATACCAAGAGAGATGCAATAATTCGAAAATGAATCTCAGATTCTCAAAAAATAAAATTTTCGAGAAAGAACCCGAATTCAGTCCAAGCCCGGCTTCTCAAAAGACAGCCCCAGATTTGCTAAATTTACTTAGAGCTTTCAAACCCGCAAACCTTTGCTAGCATGATCACAAAAAGCTGACCAATTACTATACTCGCCTACTATTACCTCACCGTCCCATTGACACGATATCCTAATACGAAGCTTACATGACACAGAACTGCTTACTTACGCGCCCGCATCTTGATATTCGGGTCGTACAGCCGCAGAACGCCACGCTTGCTTGGTACAGATCTCACTAGATTTAGGTATTGAGATAGAGTGAAACATGCACTAAAATATCACGCTTACATAGCCCGCGGTTGTACACCAACAGCGTATCACAAAGAGGAAGATAATGCATCGAAGTCTCCTGCCTTTCCAAGTATACAGCAAGTTGCCGCTTATCCATGTTCTGTTTCACCCAGAATGCTGCTTCTTCTATAGGAGATTAGTGAACTTAAGTGATTCGGGAACACAACTCACGCGAATGTCTCTGAGTTAGACGGAAGATATCGCTAATACGCAACGTAGTTGATAACGACTTTCCCTTTTAGGTTCGCAATTTGGGATTTCGATAGAATAGACCAAATATTAGGCACCATGATTCCGGTCTCAAGTACATATAAATACTCCTTGATCGCTCTCTCTTTGTACATCATTATTCTCCAGCATCTTCCTTCACTGCCTCAGCACTACTCCGTATATTCTCAAAGCTAGACAGTGACTATCGTCAAGTCTAACTTACCCAACCTCCACCCAACCTCCACCCAAAAACCTCTCCTTCCACACCATCTTCCATCTTCCATCTTCCATCTTCCTGCTTCCTGCAAACGTCAAAATGCAATACTCTCTCCCCACCCTCTTATATACCACCCTCTCCCTCCTCTCCACCGCCACATGTACAGCGCTACCAGCCATGCCCGAAGACTCTCTCGCCATTGCCTCAGCATCATCACCCACAGTCACCTCAACACCCTCACTGAATCTGGAGTTAGATATCCGCCAGGGTCCAGGCGGTCACTGCAATTGCCGCTACATCTGCCATACGGTTCCGGGGATCGGGGGAACGACTGTGTGTACTTGTACTTATGATAATAAGGTGGCGGGGTGCACAAGGGAGAATGCTTGTGATAGCGAGTGTAGGGGGTTTTAGGGTTATGGGTTTGAGGGGTGAGATGAAATGGGACTTAGGATTTGGGATAGGTCGGTCATTGCATTGCTGGAGGAAGTAGAGGTGGAAGTGAAGGGGTGGGATGGTAGTCCGGCAGCTTGGGTGGATTTCTTGTAAGAGGAACAGTTTGTTCGGATTAGATTAAAAAGAGGTTGTTGAAAGTGAAGTTGGACTTTTGGTTTAGTAGGTATGTTACATGCATATGGGGGGAGGGGGGTCCATATGTTGCGTGGGCAATATAACAGTCTTTAGCGCTAGTTAAACGGGTTATACGCTTTTTCCTCTCTAGGCAAGAGAAAACCAAGAGCTTTAAGCCCCTACAACTCTACTTCTCACCTGCGTTTCTTAATTACCTAGATTTATTGCGCTAGATAAGGTCTAATGTGGATGAAAGATGTTGATGTTGACGAGGATTCAAGTGATGAATGGGAGTTGATTGGAGGAACTACCTCTAATATTTACGGTAATCACTTAGAGAGCATAATAGTTTTGCGCTTTCTGCACTTTCCGTCCTAGTTGCCAAGAAAAAAATTCAAAAGTTAAAAAACATACAACAGCTGGTGGTCACCCACCCAACTACTAATCTGCCGATCTGAGGCTTGTCTTGTCTATGGCAGAGCGGACGGGGATGCCTTCAATCTTCGTCCTTGCGATATATCATTAGAAGATGGAACCGAACCGTCTTTGGCACGAGCCTGAAGTTATCATTTATGGCAATCTCATCACACCAGGAATACGCTGCTCAGCCGAAGCGTATGACCTCGCGAATCGCAGATGGTACCAGCTTAATGTTAACTCGGAGGTCGACGATGAGGAGTGGATGTCCAGCATGATTGAAAAGCATATCTCAACATATTATCACGCTCACGGGACGATGCCACTATTCAACGTCATAAATACAACTAGTGACGGCAACCCCACAACGTTCGAATCGAAGCCTGATACCGTTATTGCTCGACCAATTATGAACAAACTGTATTACGATCCTAATCCGGCGTACGCAATCACTACAACCTCCTCCGTTCAGGTAGTGGATAAAGCGTATTTAGGCCGCGGCGTCGATCGCTGCGTATGGAGAGGAAGGGACTGTGTATTCAAGCGGATCGAGTTCGATGTCGACATCAAGCATATTGATCGAGAAATAAAGGCCAGGGAGAAATTGAGAGCAGCTATGGATAATCTCCACATCGCAGACTGCGACGACGTTATAGAGCAGCGTTTTAATGTTATTCCGATTCTGGCTGTTGTCTTAGAGCAGGGTAGTGTTGATGAGGTCGTGGGAATTCTGATGCCTTTTAGCGGCCCTAGTCTTGAATCAATATTCGAGCCCAAACCGACATTTGCTTCACCAACGACTAACTCAACTCGTTTCGCTATTACAGTAGGACAATTACAGGATCTCGCTCATGGTGTTCGAGAATTGGCTCGGGCAGGAGTTGTCCATGGTGATATTAACGATAGAAACACACTTGTAAAGCCTCCTGAACTAGCCAGTAGTGGAGAGAATTATCAAGAAAAGCATCGCCTAGTAATGATCGACTTTGGTTCGGTAGCACCTGATTACGAAACCGATGCAATTGCTCTTGGACAGCTCTTAATCTGGTGCAAGGAGCGTGCTTCGTGGGATAGTGCAGACCAAAGGAGGATTGAGAGTGCAGCAAGGATTCTGCAAGAAAGCGGGGATTTTGATAAGGCGCTGCAGATTATGGACAACTAGTTGATAAATGGTCTTGAGAATAGATATATTAAGGGGAAGAAGTTATTTCAAGGGCTTCTCGAGTGTACTTGTTAGACGTTTGGATTGCTTAGTCAGCGCATAACATAAAACTCTGTTTCTATAGCTAGAGGCCACGTAACCACATATAATACAGACATCACTAAACCTTAAATCCTAATATTACTACTTTGGTAGCTAAATCACATGTGATATAAAAGCTGCTAAACGCAAAGATCATAGAACTTATTTAGGGGCAAGCTATTACTTAGGAATAAGGTTAACAATTATCCATATTCTAGGATAATTGCGTAACGGTACGCTTAGAATACCGGCATCGCGCTGGCTAACGAATTTCATGGAATCCGGTGTAAAGAAACCTAAAAATGTTCCTGAACTAAGGCTTGTGCTAGGCTTAAAAGTTGAGATAAGCCAATTCTCCCGGTTCTATACTACCGAAAATAGGAAACGGGAATCTGGAAACAAATTTTCTTTCAATACTCTTGGTTTTCTTATTCCACAAAGCTTCGTACGAAAGCTCTATTTTTTGCCCCCCATCGATCGGCATAGATGTGGCAAAGGTCTAAACCAAAGTTTATAGAAGAATGTGTTTCTGGAATTTCAGAAGCTCCGAAATGAGCTACCCAGCTTTTCGCTGAATATTCGAGGAAGTCGAATTTAGAGACAAGTTCGTTATTAAAGACAAGTCGATTGGTGTCATCGTTCTTAAGTAGAAGGTCTTTTTCATATAACTCGTCCAGTCGTAGATACCACATGCAACTATGGACAAGAACAAAATTTGAGCTTTGGATAGAGATAGAGTGTTTCCAAACCCCGTTGAAAGAAGAGCTGAGATCCAATTGAGGCGGGAGACCTGGCGTCATCAAGAACTCTTTTGCAGTCTGATGGAGCAAATAGACGCGTCCTTTAATGATGATAACAAAAAGCCCACATAAGTCTCGAATGAATCGTTTGGAGAAGTCCTCGGTCTGTATTTCAAGGCTTTCGTGTGTTTTGTCGTTTTCTTGAATCGTTAACGCAATGCTTATTTCTTTCACGCGCAAGGGCCATTTCGCTGCACAAACGATTTTCAAAAGTTTCCATGCCATATCATGGTTAGTACTTTTCTTAAGAATAGCCGTGTAAGCTTGGTCGACTGAAACAGGTATCTTGCCAAAGGCTTTCTGCCGACCTGCTTTTGTAAGAGATAGTAAATCTTCGCGGATAATATCCATGACAAGTGCTAGCCATAGATATGTTTGGTGTTTGACCTTCGTCAATTCTTATCGCAGAGAAGAGATCGTATCCAAACTGAGATCTGTCTCTTTCTGAAGATTTGTAAGACTGTCTTTGATAACAAGATCAATCTCCTGTTTAATTTGATCCGTTTCTTCTTCACCTGCTAACCGGACCGTTGGGATTTCGAGACTTAGGTTACTGAATTCGCGTTCTATGTGATGATAAGGGCGACTATTTATGAGAAATTTTAAGTTTCCCTTAAACATGGAACGGGGAACTTCCTAGTAGAACCGACATAAACTTGGGAGTAAGATATTTAGCTCATTTCTCCCGCATTCGTCCAAGGCTTGCTTGTGGGTCTTGAGAGGCCGCTATAAGGAGGTTCCATAACGAGTTCATATTCTGACGAAGCTGCTGTCCATTCTGCTCGTAAGGTTTCTCGATATGTTCAAGCAACGCCGGTTTTTGTATGAATATCTGATGGAGCAAGGCACATAAAGCATTCGTAGCCGCCTTTTGATCCTCGTTATCGTCCTTAAAGAAGAAGTAGCAGGTTTTTCGTGATCTAGTAGCTCGCAGCTCTTTGTTCACAAGGAATTTTGAGAATACAGATTTCCCACAGCCTGGATATGCTGTGATCCAGAGGAGATTTGAGTTTTGTCTATCCCGCCAATTGATATAGTTGTCATGCTGCAAAACCCATTGACACGTGCCTTCGACAGGGTCCGGGTCTCTCTCTTTATGCAGCTCGTAGGGTGAGGTGCGGAGGAGTTGGTGGCACTTGGTTCTCTTCTCGTAATCCGGTGGCTTTCTTGGGTCATCAAACTCTGGATTCAAATCAGAATAAATTCGGATACTTGAACTGACTGACTTGAATTAATGAAACATCTACATACTAGAGATAAAGGAATTCATTAAATCGATGTTATCTTACACCCTGTTTAGTACTCTTTGGTATTCTTCGTCGTTCCTCCCGCTGAACTTCGCTATATCCATATGATTCGCAGGAATACTCTGGTTTGGGTACTGGCTGAGGACAGCCGATTGCTCGGACATAATGATACCGACACCAACAACAGCTCTCTCCTCGAACAAGCAGTATACTGCAATCTCAAGGCATCTTTTGCGGAGCAATTGTTGGAATCGCTGTTGGACGCTAGTCAAAATATATGACTCTCGCCGGAGGACGTCTAAGATGGCTGAGTTCGTTTTACGAACAATATTAAGGTATCTTGCCACTGTGTGTCCCCGTTTAGCTAGGTCCGCGCCAGCGTGAGGTGTGCCCATGAATATGATTCCAATCGTAGACCGGAAAACCTTTTCAGGGAACGCGAAGGTCTAGGCTTCTTTTACGTGGAAGAGGATAGTAGGGTTCATGGAAAGATAGATACTAAGAGAAATCAGGGTATTTGCACTAAGGCAAGAGTTGAGTGTTATATTACTTCCATTGATTGGCCTCTTAGCTCTCCTGATCTCAATCCCATTGAGAACGTTTGGAGGATTCTTAAGCAAAAGCTAAGGAATAAAAATCCAAATGGAGGGTGGAGCTTGGAGCAATTAATAGAAGCTATTCAAGATATTTGGGATAATGAGATCTCTGTAGCAGAGCACTTCAACAAGTATATAGACTCACTTCATGAGAGATTAGAGGAGGTCAGATTGAGGAAGGGTGCTCAAACTCATTGGTAGAGCATTAAAGCAGCATACAATTTATACCTATTCTGGATATCTTGGCAATGGCAAAACAGGGGCATGGCCATCATTTGCTGAAACCCCCTTTCGTACTATAGCTTCGGACCAGCCTCGTCCGATTACGCCAGCTGCCTAGCAAGGCTCTCAAGACAGCCTTGCCATAACCTTCTTTGAGTTGATTTTCAGTTTAGGCAACCGTTAGAGATAGGTGAATCATAGGAGCGCCTTTTGCCATCCCAAGCCTTGCTTTTTATCCCAACCTTGATGCATCTATCCATTCTGTCCAAACAATCAGTTTACGCCGGTTTCTATCAATATATTCAGAGAACTCCACTCTTGGCTGACGATGGCTCCAGCATGTTCTAACCCGCTCAAAGCAGATGATGAACATCTTCGTGGCAACACTTTACAAGCGTATGCCTACCAGCCTTTATTATCCCGGCATATACGTCTACTTGGCATCGAAGACAGTGAAGAGCTCCACATCATTCATGTTTCGTTAAATTCCGCTCCAGCATACACTGCGTTATCGTATACATGGAACGGCGAGCTGGTTGATCAGCCCATCACCGTCGACAGATCTAGTCTTAAAGTGATCAACAACTTCCGTGTCGCGCTACCTCATCTGATAAAGGCTGCAAAGACTCAGTATCTTTGGGTAGATGGTCTGTGTATCAACCAAGAAGATGATAGAGAGAAGGCGGTTCAGGTTCCTCTTATGCAAGAAATTTACGCGTCGTGTAGTGAGTGTCTTATCTGGCTAGGGAAGAGTACACCAGAAGGCGAGACCGCTTTTGATGCCATACCGAGAATCCGCCGGAACCTACAGCTCTACGATGCCTCACGGGTCTGGGACATGGAAGGAATTGGACTGAAATCTCCAGGGACGATAGACTCTTCGCTTTGGAAAGGCCTCACAGATATCTTTTCTCGACCCTGGTTCAAGCGTATCTGGACTTTTCAAGAGGCAGTTATTCCCCCTGAGATCTTCTTGCTCTTCGGCGACAGAGTTCTAGCTTTCGACGACATAGTCCCATTAGCAGATCCCTTGCTGACTCATTTCACCTCCCTTCAATATTTTCATGCGAATGACGGATCTTTGAAAGGCCAAAGCCTCTGGGTTGCATTCGTGAAAACAATGCATATTCATAAGTCTAGAACCTCCGGTTCTAGATTCCAGAATTGCTTTAATACTCTTCGAATGCTATATTTCACTCGACCTTGGCATTCAACCAATCCTTTAGACAAGATCTACGGATTGCTTGGACTGACTGATCCCTCCTTACCAATGTTCCTGACAGTAGATTATTCAAAATCTGCTATCCAAGTCTCTATTGAGATTTCCAAATGGTACCTCGAACACGGTGGAGATCTATTTATCCTGAATCTAGCAAGTTCCTTGAGATACACCGACCTCGTGTATAGTGGTTTACCTTCATGGGCACCATTTTTTGGAAATTTGGGTTCCCATTGGTGTATTGGAGTAATTTGGCAAAGATTTCGTACCGGTGTAAGCGATAGTCGTCAGATGAAACCTGCTACTACCACTACGGAGCAGAAGTTGCACGTTCGAGGCCTCCGCGTCGATGAAGTATCTCACATTGTGCCATGTATCGGCGGAAAATATAAGACACAAGCTGAAAAATGTTAACAAATTCTGGGTTGGGAGGAGCAGTGTCTAGCTACTTCACGATCACTTCTCCCAAAGGAGCCGAATAATAGTATTCTAGAGGCTTACTAGACAACTATAATCTCTGCTATATGTAATAAAAGTATTATACCCTCTAAAGATTATTATAATATGCTCAAATTATTCTTTAGAGCTATAGCTTCTACTAAGCCTCTATCTCCTTAGCTGGAAGCATATAGCTAAGATCTCTTGGTTCAAATTCGACGCTTTTATAAGACTATAAGGGCGGGACATTTTTTCCTTATAAAAAGTGGCTAAATTGGTATTAGATCTAACTATATACAGCTAAGAGATTAAATTTGTATCTTATATAATGGTTTTACTCCTTTCGTTCTACGCTTATTACTAGGGTCTGATTCGGAATACGAATTAGTTGGGGATTCGTACAAGGTTGGGAGGAGCAGTGTCTAGCTACTTCACGATCACTTCTCCTAAAGGAGCCGAATGATAGTATTCTAGAGGCTTACTAGACAACTATAATCTCTGCTATATGTAATAAAAGCATTACACCCTCTAAAGATTATTATGACATGCTTAAATTATTCTTTAGAGCTATAGCTTCTACTAAGCCTCTATCTCCTTAGCTAGAAGCATGCAGCTAAGATCTCTTGGTTTAAATTCGACGCTTTTATAAGACTGCAAGGGCGGGACATTTTTTCCTTATAAAAAGTGGCCGAATTGGTATTAGATCCAACTATATACAGCCAAGAGATTAAATTTATGTCTTGTATAATGGTTTTACTCCTTTCGTTCTACGCTTATTACTAGGGTCTGATTCGGAATACGAATTAGTTGGGGATTCGTATAACTTCGGTTGGATGCACGGTGAAGCGTTCAAGGAAGAGATAGGGTGTGCTGAAGAGACCTTCATTCTTGTCTGATCTGTTAGTCCGAATGCCTTTTTATAATTTCCCATTTAAATAAATCTCAAAATGCCCCGAATAAATGAGATAATCATGCCTTATTCTGTATTATTTTTGACCAGTGTCTCGGATTCCCGATTTATAGCAAACAAAAACTAAGGCTTGTGTCGGAAATGCATAGAGAGTGTTGGAAAGGCTTGTGGAATTGCAGAGTAAGATAGCCTTACGAGTAGGTTGATCCATCTGGAGAAGGAACTAAAGCCTGAGATGAGGTATGGAGAGTAATTGGGAAGAAGGCTTCAGACAAAAGCTTTGCCACAGATATAGACACTTTCTGACAGCAGAGGCTTTCTACGTAGACGAACCTGGCATGGAACGTTTATCACAAGTAGTCTCGAGGAGCTAATCACCAATGACTGCATTCGAATTATGAAGTGCTCTGTTGGGCTTCTCATGGCCTTGTATTCATCTATCGTCCTATATACGAGAATCGATGTACAGATTGTATTCCCACCTCGCACCCACTTGCTCTATCCCTAGCCTACTTGCTCGCATTCAAGAGACTCTTGATATTCCGATCGATAGCACTATGCACACAAACACCCAACAGTCAGCCAACGTTCCGAAATAACAAATAAGCAACACAAGGAGCTCAGGAGCTCAGGAGATCAAGCGATCAAGCGATCAACCCAAACACTTTATGACTAGACTTGACTTACAAAGCAGCTCTCTTCATCGGCGGCTCGACAACCTTAACACCCTTCTGTATCCGCGGCTCGATTCTCGCAGCACCCTTCTCCATCTTGGGCGCGATATAAGACAGGTTGTTCTCCCATCTGGGACCCCATTTCGCGGATTGCACGGCGATGCGTTCTCCGGCGCCGGGGAGGAAGAAGAGGAGTGGTGTGGCGGATGCGGTGACTGCTACGCCGCCGATGATGCCATTGGCAGTGGTGAAGGTACGGGCTGCGGGGAGGAGAGGCATGGTTGTATTTGTATTGGTGTTTGTGTTTTGTGTCTGGTAAGGAGTTTCTTTGATGTAGTTGTATCGTATCGTATCGTATGGGTAGATGAAGAGATGAAGGCGATTGATGCAAGACGTGGATTGTTTGTTTCTTGATGGAAATGGATTGTATGTAGATAATGAAGTTACCAAGCAAGCATCAGGAGATTCGTAGAAAGGAGGAGTAGTAGCAGTAAAGCAGGTCTTCGTACGAGTGTAACTCCAGCCCCGCACACTAGCCTAAACCGAAGGCAGTGCATGATGCTTTGATTCATATCAATCTAAGGGCCAATGAATGGCCAGCTTTCAAGTGTTCGGGGCTCCTGGAAGGAATGCGAGTCAGCGCCACCATCGAATAGTAACGCGGGGAAGTGGGTTAAAGTGGGCCAGCTAGTGAATTAGTGGCGCGGGGAAGCGACCCCCTGCATGACGATGTACATATCACGCTATTAGCTTAATTTGATCGTACGAGTAAGTTTACAATCAACATATATAAACGCTGACGTTCTATTACACCGGAACTTTGAAACACCGGGACTTTGGAAGGCCTGGCCATCAGGATGCAGAAGAAGATGAAGTGGCCTGGTAATAGTCACCTAACCTTTCCTTATGATGAGTGTAAGCACTTTGTTTCTTCGCTTTCAAGGTAGCACATAGTGCTGTTAAATTACATGACATTCCTTTGTCGCTTTCGCAATTGAATCACCAGTTGTGAATTATACGCAATAGTGCCTATAACAAAAATGAATGTATCAAACAAGCTTTTCTTGAATCTTGATGCTCCTCTGATTCCTGGCCTAGGATCGGATCTTGGCCTCTAAAACAACCCTTGAAGCGAAGCGAGCAGTAGTCTTAGAAGTATTGATAAATATGAGTAGGAATATAAAAAACTTATTGAAAGGTACTATTTACTATATTTAGCGGATAGACTAGCAATAGGTAGAAAGAGTCCGTAAGAGGCCTCGCTGAAGGCAGAAGTTAATTCCTTCACGTGACGTAGCGGAAATAGGTAACGCGGGGGCAGCGATGTGCCCTGTAGGAGTGAACGAGCCGTTTAACCCCTTTTCAAGAAGTGCCCCACCCGCGCCCCACCCTACTACCCCATACTTATCATAAACGAGTGGGATTTGTCCGACAATTGATCTTGGGGGTTTTTAAATCTAAGGAGACTTTTGCTAGATCTAAGTCATAACTGCAGCGGAAGCCCTAAATAGATGGTTGACTCCAGAGCCGCTGGAGATACAGGACAGGGAGTTGAAGATAGACTTGGATTTCATGTCACTTTCTAATTATGTCAATTTATCAAATCTGAATTGAAATATTTTGTCAAAACCTCAAACTTTTTCCCTAGAAACCTTTTCAAACTTGACATTAAGCTTAGGCTTGATTAAAAACCCATAATGAAGCAAAGGCCCCTCCAAATCCACATGCTGTCCAGGGGCCAAGAGAAAACCAAAAGTCCATAGCAACTTGGCCATAAAGAGCTTCCCCTGGATCCACGCCATCTCCTTACCCATGCAGACTCTGGGACCTAGGTTGAAGGGAAATAATCTTTTGCGATCATCATTCACGAATTTGGGATCGTATAGATGGTGGCTTGAGGGGAGCCAGCGTTGCGGTCGATAATGCATAGGGTCGGCGAAGTACCGCGAGCTTCGGGCGAGAGCGAAAACGCTGGCCTGGACGTGGGTCTATTCAGAGGAAGTTAGATGCTGATAACCTTGCCGCCGTCGCTTTTGGTGGTGATGGAAAAGAATACTCCGGGACGATGTGATAGACTTACCCCGTTAGGAATATATTGGCCATCAACCATAGCGCCTGGGCTGTATCGAGGCAGCCCGGTATTGTTGCTTGGAAACATGCGCAGCGTCTCTTCTAAACAGGCATGCAAATATGGGAGGGTTGCCAAGGCGCCTGGCGTGATGTCATCGTAAGAATTGAACTTGTTCCTGATCTCTTCGGCCAAGAGTATGTAGCATTCAGGATACTGAAGCATGAAACAAATGGTACCATAGAGCTAGTCTGACATCAGCCCAAACCCAGCAGACGTGACCTGAAACGTCACGATTCAACTCAAGTGGGGAGAAGAATAACTGGAAAGAAAGGAAGAAGAGAACGAGAGGACTTTTTGTCAACAAGACTTACCAGTGATAAGCGTACCAAGTATTCGAGACGGCGGCTATTCGAGGCCCAGGAAACTTAGAGAGAGGATGGAAGTATAAACGCTACGCACATATGGTTGCTGCATAGACGAAAACCTGCAAACGGAATTAGACCTCTGCTATTGTTACTTATGGACGGGTATGCCATACGATCCCAAAAATGACAGTTGCAATCAATTGTATGTTCATAGTTTCCTTAGAGAATAATACATGTTGCAAAGCCATCTTTGCTAGCGCTCTTGTAGCCTCCAGAGAGCTTGATACATTTTTGACACTATGGCTACAAAGCAGACAGAAGACCCCGTAGTTTACACTCCCGAGGACGAAGCAGGAGTACTACCAAAGATGGTAGCCGAGGGAAACCAGATGTTCAGCGCAGCTTTAGCTCTTGGACCATCATCGTGGGACTTGGAATTACGATGTGGTTGGCCGCTCTTGAGACCTCCGTGATAACTACGGCAGCGTCTGTAATACTTGCTGATATTCCCCTTGGTGGTAACTGGATATGGATGACAAATGCGCTTTGGCTTTCTAGCGCTGCCTTTCAGCCCTTGTTAAGCCAGTTCGCAAACATCTTCGACCGACGCTGGCTCACTTTGTTCGTAATAGCTATCTACACACTCGGTAGCGGCATCTGTAGCGGTTCCAACAGCGGTCGAATGCTGATTACCGGCCGTGCCGTACAAGGGATGGGGTCAGGAGGTATATTGTTGGCATTCGGTGCGTATTTACGGCTGCTGGTCTTGAGGCACGTCGGGCTAACATGCTATGATCACACAGACACAATTGTGTCAGACATGGTACCATTACGCTATCGAGGCAACTACATTGCCATTATACTTCTTATTTACGGGCTTTGCTTGGTGTCTGTGCCTGTTTGAGAAAGATTTCCCGCTCCGTACTGAGTTGGTAACGGAATATGGGTTAGAAGTAGATGAGAATAAACTCTCTAAAGAAGAAGCAACAAGTTAATAATAGATTGGCACTGTTTAGCGCATGTAGTTGGTGGTAGAAATATGTACAAATACCCCCTTCAGCCGCACATGATGGAGGTCCCATTATACACACATGTAAGCTTAGAAAGAATTCCTGGTGAGATATATAGATGACAGAATGTACGAGAATGAGGGCTTGAGAAAGCTTTTAAAAAAAAGTCGTTAGGGATTCACGAGAGGCGGCTTAATCGACCTTGGTGGGGTTCTTGCTAATATAGCATCGCCAACAAACGAAACGCATGCGGGACGGCAAGGGCGGATACGATGATTAGGAGATCAATAGAGTATTTGCGAGGTACAATTCCGAAGTAAGCTGGTCTACTTATAATAGCTCGCAGAGTGAAAAGTAACGGCATATTAAAGAACATAGACGTAGATTGTAAAAATGCAGATATGGATAGAATCAGATAACGTGGCCTGCCTAATCGCGGAATTTAGTAATATGAATGGAAGATGATACAGATTGGCATTGTCATATATTGCAGTTTTGTCGTCCGCATGCATCTTGGACCTTTACACAACTCTACACATGAAATTGACTGAAATGCGGTAGATCTCATAAAGAACCATGCAACACAAGGCGCGAGTCAAGGCGTATTTTTGCGAGGCAGAGGTTGACGTTTGATATGGGAAAATGACATGCCAGTAGTTAGGCTGTGGATGTGGAAATGATGCAAGATTCTGCTCTTGAGGGCGGACTGAATTCTCCAGCTTAATGAATGCGCATATCTACAGAGAGCCAATTTAGGAAATAGATGGAGGTACAGAAGAGCATAATATGAGGACATTTCAAATTGTCAGCTTGAAGAACGGCTTCGAATTTTTGGGATGTATATAGTCACGTGAAGAGGACAGGCAGGTCAAACAAAAAAACCACCTTGTGTTATGCTGATATCAGAACAATAATGAGCTTTAGCGCTTGAAATCAAAACGCCGTGGCAGAGAGAATGGCTGTATCAAATTTGTTCTTCAAAGGTCTTGGTCACGAGGTTTCAGCGTCGGACCTGACGTTGCATCGAAGCGGCCTGCTTGCACGAGCGGAGGGACAAGCAATGAAAACATCAAACAGAATTTACCACCAGTACAGGCAGTGAAGATTTGCCATCAATCCTGCTTGCTCTACCTGTGGTTTTATGAACCAGACTAAACAAGCAGGTGCCCAAGTGAAATACAGCGCGAAGATGGCAAGATCTCTGAGGTCGACATGGTCTACCCCGGGCGGCTTAGGCAAACCTCCAGACAACTTGCAGTAACTATTGATATGTCGAAGCCTCATTCCCGCGTCTTGTCCTCCTCAATACAATATTCTGCAAGTCAATAGAAATGTAGCAGCCGGCGGTAAGTTGCGTAGTCATTGAGCAAAAGCTCTTCTTTGCATCCATTCCAGCGCCATAAAGGTCTCTCTAGAGCACAAGATAGAGGAAGACTCGACAGTAGCAACAACATCACCGAAATGATATTGTTGCCCAAGTACACCCACAATAAAAAGTGCCCAATACAATTTAAATGAAGAAGGAAAAGAAGAGGCTTATGGATTTTCGGCAAATTCTTTTATGGAAAGGAATGGCGCTAGGGGCAACGGCCAATCAGCGAGATCGCTTTTCTATTAGTAACTTACGTCGCTAAAGTAGAGGAGAGCTTCAAGAAACGTCAAGACTCCCAAGATTGAGACTCAATTGCTCGTGCCCGCTACCATACAGCGTCGTTTTCTTTCTTTTCTGTCTAGACGACGAGAGTACACGATGCTGAGGCAATCTCTGGCACGTTCGGCTCTGCGGACCGGCAGGCAGACCTGCAATGCTTCACGAACCTTCGCGACAACAAGCAGGAGGCAGGCCGAGGTCCAGCTTACGATTGGTAAGGCACATTGAGTCTGCGAGCTGTGCGATACATGAGATGGCTAATTGGTATTTCAGATGGCAAGCAAGTCTCGATAGAAGGTATGTCTAGGGAATGTGGAAATCTTGGGGAGAGATGTTGACAAGTGCCACAGCTGGTTCTGCTTTGATTCAAGCTTGCGAGAAGGCGGGAGCCGTGATTCCAAGGTTCGTTGAGAGGCTGTTCTACTTCTAAGGAGCTTACACTGACCCTTTCTAGATACTGCTACCATGAGTGAGTCCGGCGCGATCCGATGCCACCCTACCGACTGACCAGTATACAGGAAACTTATGATTGCGGGAAATTGTCGTATGTGTCTGGTGGAAGTCGAGAGAGCCCCGAAGCCTGTCGCATCATGTGCGTGGCCAGTACAACCGGGTATGGTCGTCAAGACCAATTCGGCCCTCACACACAAAGCTCGAGAAGGAGTGATGGAGTTTCTGCTGGCCAACCACCCTCTCGACTGTCCCATTTGCGATCAAGGAGGAGAGTGTGATTTACAAGATCAATCGATGAGATATGGAGCTGATAGAGGCCGGTTTCACGAGGTTGGGGGAAAGCGTGCCACGGAGGATAAGAATATTGGACCCTTGATTAAGACCTCGATGAACCGATGTATCCACTGCACAAGATGTATTCGATTCGCAAACGACGTTGCTGGAGCTCCAGAGCTTGGGTCGACAGGACGAGGAAACGATATGCAGATTGGAACTTACCTTGAGAAGAACTTGGACTCAGAAATGTCTGGAAATGTTATCGATTTGTGCCCCGTGGGAGCTCTCACCTCAAAACCATACGCTTTCCGAGCTCGACCTTGGGAGCTGAAGCACACCGAGTCTATTGATGTCTTGGACGGACTTGGATCTAATATCAGGGTTGATTCGAGAGGTCTCGAGGTCATGCGTATCCTCCCCAGACTCAATGACGACGTTAACGAGGAATGGATTAACGACAAGACTAGATTTGCATGCGATGGGTTAAAGACACAACGACTTACCACACCTCTCATTCGAAAGGACGACAAATTCCTTCCCGCTACCTGGGAACAAGCTCTCACTGAGATTGCAGCAGCATACAAGGATTTTGCACCAAAGGGCAATGAATTCAAGGCTATTGTTGGAGAGCTCCAGGAGACAGAGTCAATGGTCGCGTTGAAGGATCTGGTAAACAAACTTGGTTCTGAGAACTTGGCTCTTGACCAGCCTTCTGGTAGCCAGCCAATTGCTCACGGAATCGATGTTCGGTCTAACTACCTATTCAACTCCAAGATCTGGGGTGTAGAGGAGGCTGATGCCATATTGATTATTGGCAGCAACCCTCGACACGAAGCTGCTGGCTTAAATGCTCGTATCCGCAAGCAATGGATGCGATCAGACCTTGAGATTGGTGTTGTTGGTGAGACCTGGAACTCTACTTTCGAGTTCGAGCATCTTGGTACCGATGCTGCTGCTCTTAAGAAGGCTTTTGCCGGTCCATTTGGCAAGAAGTTGCAGGCAGCAAAGAGACCTATGATCATCGTTGGTTCCGGTGTCACTGATCACGCAGATGCTAAGGCTATCTACGAGATAGTTGGGCAATTCGTTGACAAGAATGCCGCCAACTTCCTGACAGAAGAGTGGAACGGTTACAATGTCCTTCAACGTTCGGCCTCAAGAGCTGGTGCTTACGAAGTTGGCTTCACGACGCCATCTACCGCCGTCGCCAACACGAAGCCCAAGTTCGTCTGGCTTCTTGGTGCCGATGAATTCGCAGCAGCTGATATCCCCAAGGATGCATTTGTAGTCTACCAAGGCCACCACGGTGACCGCGGTGCTCAGATCGCCGATGTCGTTCTCCCAGGTGCTGCATACACCGAGAAAGCAGGAACCTATGTCAACACCGAAGGCCGCGTGCAAATGACCCGCGCCGCTGTTTCATTACCTGGTGCTGCACGTACCGACTGGAAGATCATCCGAGCCATCAGCGAGTTCCTAGGCGCACCACTTCCTTACGACGATGTCGCAGCTCTCCGTGACCGAATGACGGAGATCTCGCCTGCGCTGGCGAGCTACGATGTCGTGGAGTCTGTGTCGTTGAAACAGTTGAGTAAGGTGCAGTTGGTAGACCAGAACAAGGGCAGTAAGTCGAGTGGAGCGCCGCTTAAGAAGGTGGTTGAGAACTTTTACTTTACAGATGTTATCTCGAGAAGGTATGTTATGCTTACCCTAACTCATGCTCGAGATTGAGCTTTTTACTGATTGTTGTAGTTCGCCTACAATGGCAAGATGCTCGGCTGCGAAGGAGACTGGCAACCCACAGACTAACTTCATGGCATCTGGTTATTCCAATGAACACCCGCATGGCCAGGTTGCTTATGGTGCGTGATACTACTGTATACTGAGTTGAGCTGTTCCTTTGTTGGTGTTGGTTGTATATATTTGGGACGCAGTAAATTACAAGAATTATCAAGTAGAATGAACGAGCGTGAAATGAGTCATTGATCTCGATCGAATTAAAGAAGACTTTAAAACAAACATCAATGGCAATGCAATGCTAGAGGATAGTGTAAGTAGGTAGGTAGGTAGTAACTTTATAGATATCGGGTCTTGAAACACGTCTATGCATTTTACATACTGTACATCAATCAAAACACTGATGGATGATAAAACCATCCATCCATTCGCTGGATCGAGGTCCAACTACGCCACGCCAACGCCAACCATGCATCTCCACCCTTTACCCGCAATAATCGTTGCATCCGCAACGTGGAAATGAAGATTTAATCCACCCATAATACAATTTCCACCCCATTTCTTCTTCAACCCCCTCCCTATCCTAGCTTCACAAGAATATTCCCATAATCCACCTGCTCCATTCCCATTCTCATTCTCGGCGCATGTCGTCTCTCAGAGATCCTATACCGGTAAAGCGAACTTCTTCCCCTTCATAACCTTAGTGTAATAGATCCAGAAGAAATCCGAATACAGCAGCGTCTGCACCAAACCCGCAATCACACTAATCCAATCCCAATGCCCATCGACCGCATATCGCCAGATCCAATTCGGGATATACAGCGCGCGGTACAAGCCTAGCGCGAACAGGTAATGCGTGGTGATGGTCTCGGCCTCGCCGGTGCGCTGCAGCATGAACAGCTGCGGCAGGATGGCCACGCTCTCGAGCCAGATGCTAAAGGCCCAGGTGATTTCGTACGGCGTGTAGTAGTAGGGGAGGAGCACTGCGATGATGGCGGATCCGCCAAGCAGGTATTGTACCTTGAAGGTGTCGAGGTTTGGGTCGTGCGTGGGCTTGTAGGCGGTGGTCATTAGGTATATGGTATAGCCGGAGGAGGCGAGGAAGAGCAGCTTGTAGATGGTGTTGTAGGGACTGTCGGTGAAGGTCCAGAATATGTCGAAGTACCGGGTGGCGTAGACGATGAAGTAGAGGGCTTGGGATTTGAAGGATATGCCGGCGCAGGACTGGAGGGAGGGGTGGTTAGTTGGGGAGCGAGCATGCGATTGGGAAGGGAAGACTGGAATGGACGGGAGATGGACGTACATTTGTCTGTGTCATTTTGTGTAGTAGTATCAGGATCGATACCAGATGGGAGAGATCTCCTGCGCGGGATGTTAGTGATCAATTGCTTCTTCTGGTCTGGGAAAGCTTACCCAGGATGCGGAAAAGATTCATGGTGGGCTAAGGGCGAGTGAGAACACGGCAGCGTTGGGGATAATGCAGGCTTTGCAATAAGAAAGGAGCGTGGTGAGCTGAACTGAGCTGCTGGAATGCAGCAGCTGGATCGTCGTCCAGGTTTTAGTTGGGGTTATGGTGGTCGTTGATTGGGTTGGAGTTTGAACTTGTCTTTTCTTCTCAGTGAGGACACGCAACGACGCGACTATACCTCTATAGAACATCACAGGGATGTTGCGCACGGGTACAAGCTATTTGCCGCCATAAGCGCGAAGCTTAAGTGAAGGTGAAGGTAGTGGCGGCATGACGATTACGAAGCATCTTTGTGCCTGGAAATTTCGACAAGCTATTTGTCAACCACACCAAGTAGGACAATAATCGAGTTACATATTCAATACAAAGACATTCTATCCTTTGAACCCGCTCATTCTCTCCCTCCTCTTTAGTGACAACCACCACATCCATAACAACTGATAACCAAGACGGCACCATGTCTACTGACAGCCAAGATCTAGTCCCCATCACCCTTACCCACCATGGCAAACCTCATACTTTCTCCTTCCCCTCCGATGCGACGATATCAAACCTCTCAGACGAAATCGCCGACTCCCTCTCCGTTCCGCCCTCCAACCAGAAACTTATGATCTCCAAACTCGGCCTGCTTAAGCCCCCCTTCAAAGACCCCGGCCTCTCCATCAGCTCGATAGCAGACAAGAAGATAACGCTTATGGGCAGTACCGCCGTAGAAGCTTCCTCCATCTCCGAAGCATCAGAGCATGCCTCAAGACGCGTAACAAGGCAGAGCAGGCCCATGCAAAAAGTTTCCGCATATAAAACACACGATTGGAAGAAAGAGCAGCAAGAAGCGCAGTACACATTCACAACTCTCCGGCCTCTTCCTTACCTTCCCAACCCATCAAAGTCGCTACAGTTTCTGCAAAGGTTGAAAGATGATGCTGGAATCAAAGCGTCGATGCGGAAACACAAGTTTACGGTCCCGCTCCTCACAGAGATGAATCCTATCGAACACACCCAGTCGAACCACGAAGGCACATCGCGCACGCTGGGCCTAAACCGCAACGCTGGAGAAGTGATAGAACTGCGTTTGCGGACTGATGCTTACGATGGGTATCGGGATTACAAAACGATACGCAAGACGCTGTGTCACGAGTTGGCGCATAATGTGCATGGGCCTCACGATAGGAATTTCTGGGATTTGTGCAAACAGATTGAGAAGGAGGTTGAGGGCGCGGATTGGAGGAGTGGCGGGCACGCCTTGGCAGATGAGGAGTATTATGGCAGTGAGGATGTGGATGATCATGGGGGGTGGACGGGGGGTGAGTTTGTATTGGGCGCGAGTGGCAGTGGTGGTGCGGCGAGTACGGGGAATGTTGTTAGTGCGGGGTTGAGTAGGAGGGAGGTTCTGGCCAAGGCTGCAGAGGAGAGGATGAAGAGGTTGAGGGATCAGGGTGGTGAGAATGCTGGGAGTGGTTCTGGATGAAAGGCGCTCCAGATGAATGAAATGAAATGGTATTTGATCGGTGTAAGGCGTTGGAGACATTTGAGTTAGCGATAGTACTCGAATCAACTGGCTTTTTGAGAATAGTGTTTTTTGGATATGCCTCATTTAGTGGTTTGCTACCTCATCTCAGTATATGTGTCTCTTAAGTGCCACGAGTACGCAACGGGGTTGGGATGTTTGCTCCAAAATGTAAATCGAACGTATATAATGTGTTTCCATAGTCCGGTGAGAGGCTGTCAAATCTCAAGTCTTCCATAGCACAACTGCCATGGATTTTTTTTAGTAACAAACAAGTATAGCAACTTACTCCGTATACGACGTATAACTCGAGAACAGGAAAAGCGCCCCCAATTGCATCCACTCTCGGATGCAACCCCATCAAGAACAGGCCCGTCTGATTCGCTCTCATCTCAAACAACCCCCATAATAAAACAAATCATGCAGCTAAAAATAAATGCTCAGCCGCATCCCACCCCGCAGGCCCATCCGAAACATCTTCTAGACTTTTAAAGAACTCAGTCTCTCTTCTAGAAGTCATCTATGGATTTCTAGGACTAACTCATGGACTCGTTCAAAGCAAAACTTAAGAGGGGTCGGAGTGTCTTGAGGGACGGCTTCAAGAGAGATAGCAGGAGTACTTCGGCCAGGAGTTCCATCACTGGGACTAGCGCGGCTACATCAACGCGCGGCTCCCACGATGAAAGACCAACTCAGGTCACTACGGATGGAGATTTGGGTAAAGCTCAGATCGGAGCAGGAAACCCTCTTCAAAAGACACCTGCCGTGGTGGATTCTGAAGACAAATCTCAAAAACCAGCCGGGTCTGTCGTGGCTACCTCGACTCCTAATATTTCAGTTCCCGAAGTGGTGGTGACTTCTCATTCTTCCGCAGTGGATATATCAAAAAGGAAGGAAGGCCAAACCATCGAGACAGTTCCTTACTCTACGGTGTCGTTGACCACGGAAGAAGCGGGACCCCAACAAGCCATCTCTGTCCCACTAGCAACACCCCCACAAGGAACTCAACCCAGTATTGAGAGTTCCAAACTTTGGCAAGATGCGTACAAGAGTCTCAGAAAGGACCAACCAGGGTTGGTTAAGAATTATGAGATAATCCTCAAACATGCGGCAAACATTCCCCAGAAGGCCGATATCCGAGAGGAGGTTGCAAAGGTTGTATCCTTCCAGAAAATGAAGATGGAGAACGGGCAGTGGTGTTTCCAATGGAATGATAAGCCACAGAAGATCCGAGATGTCATCCACAAGATTCTCAAAATCACTGACAAGGCGGCCTGTCTCGTCCAAATGGCAATGACATATGCGCCGCCATATGTCTCGATACCATGGGCTGCAATCGGAGCCATTCTGCCTGTAAGAGAGCCCCCCCTACGGCACAAACCAATCGCTAACTCTGTTCTTAGTTCATGCTGAATGGCTTTGCCGAAGAGGAAGACGCCATCTTAGGCATTGAAAAAGTCGCGAGAATCATTTCAAGCTACCGCATTGTCGAAGATGCATTCTTACTCAACCCCCAATTCGCACAGACGTATTCAGAGGCAGTTTTGCCTCTCTACGTCAAAGTCCTAGAGTATCAAGCCGTCGCCGCCCAGCATTTTGGTCACCACACCTTGACTCGCTTCGGAGCCAGCATGGTGAAAGCAACGGGCTGGAGCGATGCTCTTGCGGAGATTGAGGGACTTGACAATAGGAGTCGAGGCTCGGTTTTGCATTTGGGGATTCAGGCTCAGCAGAAGGGGTTTGAACAGATGCAAGGGAATTTCGGGGAGTTGGTCAAGATGTTTGAGAATCGAGATGATGTTTTGAAGGCGTACTTGAAGGATTTCTTTGTTCACAAGGGGGAGGTCGAGCAGTTGTTGACTGATCTCTCTACTATTCCATACAAGCAAGACCACAGGGATGTTCGCAAGGAGCTTGGATCTGCCTACTTCGGGTCCGGTCAATGGCTCCTCAAGCATGAAACCATCGCAGGCTGGCGTGATTGGAAAGCAAACTTTGATGTTATGTGGCTCGAGGGTAGTGTCGGAACTGGAAAAAGCTCCTTGACGTCCATGCTCCTCGAAGATTTCGCAAAGACGCCTTCCGGAAACCTGGGTTTCTTCTACTGTTCGAAGAAAGCAGCCAAGAAAGATCAACAGTTCAGTGCTCGTGACAGTGTAGAGAATATTCTACGTACCCTGATTATTCAACTTTCGATGTCATCAGACGGCAGTTCAATATCTGACGAGATTCGCGAATATCACACTCGCAGCAAACAGGGAATACGCGGGGGTGGCATGGAATTAGCAGACTGCATCACTTTACTGGAAGGGATTGTTGCTAAAGAAGACCGACCCCGAATCACCATTGTTATTGACGCCTTGGATGAATGCGTCAACTTCAATAAACTCCTCGAAATCTTGCAGCAAGTCTTCGTTTCCCAAGACGGTGTTCGGATTTTCTTTTCCAGTCGCTTCGATGTTGATGTTCATCGCCACTTTCCCAACGCTCAGAAGATTGTCATCGAACAGCAGAACGGGCCAGATATACTCAAGTACATCGATACCGAGATTTCGGAGAGGAGAGTCGGTAGTGGCTTGACTGATAAACAGGCTTCTGAGCTGAAGTCAATCGTCATGCGTCGTCACGAAGGAATGTAAGTGAAATTTGCCCCACTATGCATTTTAACCAAGCTCACTGATAATAAGGTTCATCTGGGTTGTTCTTGTCATCGATGATATTCTAGATGAGAATGAAGAAGATCGTGCTCAGATGGAGGAAGATATACAGATTAGAATTGACGCCCTGAGGGATTCCGATGAAACCGACATAGAGAAAATGCTGAGCACCGCATACGATAGTGTCTATATTAAAGCAATTGGAAAGGGGAAGCAACCTACTCGGCGGCACATAGTGGATGTTGCGCTCAAATGGACTCTCTGTTCATTCCGCCCACTCACTCTCACCGAACTTACTTACGCAATTTCTATTAAAAAAGACGGAACCTTGATGAAAAATATCCAGGGAGGAATGATTCTTGATTTCTGCAGCAATTTGCTGCTCGAGGGATCCGGTGGCATCGTTAGATTCGCGCATCTGTCGGTGAAGCATTATGTGGAACGGAAGGAGCCACCCGACTATTCTGCCCTTGAATCACATGCTCAGGCAGCCACTAGCTGTCTCTTCTTGAAGAACTCGCCGCAGTATCATGAAATTACTACCAGTACACTTGAACTGTCATATCGCGCGCATGGTTCTGTCGGCAAAAGCTTCTCAAATTATGTCAAGACATATTGGGCCCGACACTGCCGAGAAGCAAAGCAAAGTGCAATTGAAGTAGAAGATTCCGGACATGGAGATATTGGACAGAACGGCATTGAGGATTTAATCAATGGGTTGGAAAATCTTATCAATCAAGACCAACCAGCCACAGTACACAATGTCAGCAAATCCTCGAATCATGGGTCAGAAATGCTTCGAGATGCAATACAAGACAACGACGAAGAGACAGTCGAGATTTTAATAGCTGTGAATGCTGATGTCAATGCACGCGACGAATTCGGGAACACTCCCCTCCACGAAGCTGTTCGTTGGAATCGGCTCGTAATACTGGAAAGACTTATAGATGTCGAGGCAGACTTGAACGCTCGAAACCTCAATGGTGATTCGCCCCTTCACTTCGCCGCCTTCTGGGGATTTGAAGAGATATTGCAAGCATTGATATCGACAGGCGCCGAGCGAAGCGTGCGCAACCAAAGAGGAGAAACAGCTTTGCACATCGCTGTCATTCAAAAGCACAAGGAGATCGTACGCACCCTCCTTGTCGCTGGTGTCGATAAGAACGCGACCGACAACTGGGGTAACAATCCACTGCATTATGCTAAACTGGGAAAAGAGATTACGAAGGATGACTCAATTTGCAACTTATTAGAGCCTCCAGTGGATAAAAATGCATCATCCTACAAAACTCCACCGATTATAGTACCTGGCCTATGCGACTATTGCGATATCATTCGTTGGATAGACAAATCCCCGAAAATCACTTTTCATAAGCATTGGCCCTCCTACGATGATCTGAAAAGTTCAGCAAATAGTGGATGTAGTTTGTGTGGTCTGTTACTTCGGGAATTTGATGCTCTCGACTGTCAAAATATATTGAAAAGTGACCCATCTGAAATATCAATTTCGCTACAACTGGTCTCTCGCCAGGCGTTCTCGGATAGCGACAATGACAAACTCAAGGCCACAATGGGTGGGACCTTGGAAGTTGAGTTTGAATTCTGCCTAGATCCAAGTAAGTCTTACTGTGGCCTCTTGAAAAGAAAACAATATTAACGGAAGGAATAGAAACGGATCTCGGTCCTTTGAAAAGCGAAATATCCGGAAGGCTGATAGCCCCGAAGCCTTCTGATCAATCGTGCTTTGACTTGGTCAAGACATGGCTGGACGACTGCGCAAAGAACCATTCCCAATGTGTCATGGAACCTAGCACTCTTCCAACTCGCATCATAGATGTTGGACCCCCGGATGGCTCCAAGGAGCCATTTCTCTACCTGCCCAAACCTGGTGAAGTTGGGAACTACCTGTACCTTTCGGCCAGAAGAAGTGGGTTCCTCGATGGTGGCTGTCTACTCATGTCAAACTTGCAAGATCTTTATAAGGCTATGCCACTACTGTCGCTTCCCAGGACATTCAAAGATGCTGTCATAATCACACGCCGACTTGGAATACAATACTTATGGATAGACGCCTATTGCATCTTGCAGGATACTCGTGATGACTGGGTGCTCGAGTCTACCAAAATTGGCCAATATTTGAGGAACTCAACCTTTACTCTAATAGCAGCCTCAGCAACAGGATCTCAGCATGGCATATTCGAAGAGAGACAGTTCTATGAGCCTCTGCTACGGCTTCCATGTCATGAAGTTCCAACTGCGAACACGTCCGGTCAACCCTGGACCGGCAATCTTTACCTCCGAAAACCTACAAAATCCGCATTAGAGGCCATGTCCTCCAGCGTTTTGCAAAGAGGCTGGATGGTACAAGAGCTCGTTTTGCCAGAACGCAATGTAATCTTCGGCAACGAACAAATTTATTGGAACTGTCAAAGACTATCCCGAGCCGAAGACACGATATGCCACCAGAGGCCGATCTTACGACTGAACGGTAGTCCTAACGGTGCTACTCCCATCGCCGGCGAAGACTACACGCGCGAGTTCACCGAACGCTGGTACTATCTCGTCGAAGTCTATTCTGGCACCATCTACGCCCGCTCCACAGACAGACTCCCCGGGCTCTCGCACATGGTCAAACACATGCTGCAGCAGATCAACACAACATACCATGCCGGTCTCTGGCGTTCCAGCTTCCACCGCGGTCTTCTCTGGCGCGCGAAATCCATCGGTCCCGCGCAGCGCTTCCAGGACTACATCGCACCCAGCTGGAGCTGGGCCTCCCTTAATGCCCCGGTCTCCTATACGCTCGGCCTGAACGAATCGAGTGGGAGTACACACGATGCCGAGATCCTCGATATCCAGATCTCGACGCCGGCCTCAAACACCACCGGCGTCGTTGATTCGGGATCTCTCACGCTCCGCGCTCTGTCTCGTAGTATCTCCAAAACGAACATACCGAAAGGCTGTAATCACTACTTTGACGATGCGGGGTTCGAAGCGGAGTGGCGGGGTGGGATGGAGTTTGTGCATATTGTTGTATGTACGTGGGCTGTGAATAACAAAAATCTGATAGGGGAAATGAAAACGAAAACGAAATCGGCGGGGTTGGTATTGAGGCGTTTTGATGTTGAGGGGGGGGGCGGGGGAAGCGAGCTGGCACAGGGGTTGGGTTGGTTATGGGGCCCGATGATGATGTTGGTGTTGAGGGGAAAGAGTGGGAGAGGAAGGAGTTTGTGGTTATTTGAGATTAAGATAGCATAGCGTAGCATAGCATAGGAAAAGGGATTTTTTCAAGTTGTATAAGAGGTGTTTTAAAAGGGTAAATGAGCATTGCAAATTTACCGTGAATGTTCGAACCCCTATTCGATCTCGCTTATAGTAATCACCCTGCGTCGAAAGAGGGAATCATTTCAAGTTACGAAGAAGTCTGGATATATGTAGACAGCGGTCATGATTTGTTGACAGATAGATAATGTGCTGTTATGGCCTTAATGGGGATCTTGTTATATTTGAATCTGATGCTGATAGCAAAGAGTTGAGATGGAAATGCTGTGTAGTAAAGAACGCTTGGGGTTATACGGAGTAAGGCTCTGTTTGCACAAGATGTGCAGAGCCCATAGACTACTTTTGAGATAGTTTATTGTATTGATATCTGACTGATGATGTCGTATATTGTACACTAAACTGCCTAATAATAATCCTAATTACCTATCATCAACTCATCCAAGAACCCTGAATCCGAAACAGCCCCCATACCCTAAAAAATACTCTTCTCTCCTACCTAGATAAATTCTACTTGTTCCTCTCCAAATGAACAATATGTAACTCCACAGCACTTAGCTCTGCCAGCGTAGCAGGTCTGGGCCTCACCAGAAAAGGCGAAACCTCCCAATCAAACCACTTATCCTTCCCGCCATCCTTCTGAATCTCAGACCTCAGCACACTCCTCCGTGCCATCTCCCACATCTTCCCAAGGGCCTCCGCATGTGCAGGGCCAAACAGTAGCTCAAAATTAGGCTCTGTATCTTTTCCCGTAAGGACGAGGCGCCGGATCGCATACATGACTAGCAGTTTCAACCCCGTTGTGTGTTTGTCCGGTAGATCCATATTAATTTCCTCCGCAAGCGCGCGGGCTTCGGGAGATCTGGCCGCTTTGTTGAGCCAGTGTTTATAGAACGGCTTTCTGAGCATCTTGTTCTCTTTCTCGCAGGTGTTGCTGTCGTCGTCATATTCGGAGAACTCTGCATTTGCCATGTCCCGCCCGCATCTAACGTGTTCGGAGTCCACTTTCCAGAACTTGACTTTAACACCAGACTCCTCGAGCAGCAAGAGTTTCTTTTGCAGAACTTTGTAGGCTATGCTATTAGCTATAGTCCGGTTATTCCCATCTCGAAACTTATTCTTTTTCGAAATCCAGTCCCAGCGCCAGATTTCGGTGCTGATGGTATCTGTCAAGCCGCTCGAATCGGTCACCAGGATAACGAATCTGATTCCTGTAATATGGTCTTCGATTATCTGCAGGGCCCGCACGGCGGCGCAAATCTCACCTAGGCGGATAGTCTGCTCTTCTGCTTCTGGGTCGGAACCAGAGTCGTTGTAGCGTGAATCCTTGGCAAACCACGTTCCGTATGTTGCTTCTGCTTTTTTTGTTCCCTCGCCGTGGCATGCTCCATCTATGATTACCAAGATGGCATCAGATACTGGCAGTGCATTGGATCCTTGGTGAAGAGCTGGATTTGATATCTCGCGTTTGCTGTCTGGTAGAATGAGACCGGAAGGTAGTTTGACGGTCTTTGTTGCTTTTTTGATATAGGGACCAGGGTTGAAGATGCGGTCAGGTATGTATTTGACCATGGTGAACGTCGGGGTCGATATAGAGGCATTCGAGTATTTAATTTAAGCAGAGGCCGACCCTGGATGTCGTTGTTCAAAAAGTGACTGCTGCTTGCACTTCAAAAATTGAATATTTGGGCATGGAACTTGACCCAGAACAGTGTGAATTGCCTTTTAGGGGAGGTATAGCCGCCTTTATATGCTGTCTTCCTTTCCTTAAAGACAATAAATGCCTTTGATAATTTTCTTCGGCTGATGAATTACCATTGTATCAATTGTTGGTATATTGGGACCTGACTTTGCACACAGGAAAGCAGAAGGATATTCAAGGGCAACGTCGAGCAGCGCAGCATTGTTCAAACCTATGTTACAATTAGGCTGGGGTGTATGGAACCTGTCTTACAGGTAGTGTTAATCCATTCGCTGACTGCGTGGGAAAATGAAACACAAGTTTCGTTTGTGGGTGTTGATGGACGTCAAAATGTTAAGCAAGTAGTCGGTCCTATACCCAAACAAATGTTACATGACTCCATTGTATTCTGATACTTAAAACACGTATAAACTTTCCCTAAATAGACGATTAAATACTAAATTCTTCGCTTAATTCTGCTTTCAAGTCTTCTAAGTCAAGGGTCTCTGAAATTTATTAGGTACGATGATTGCAGTGTATTAAAGTACGACCTACCCAAATAAAGCTTCTTGGCCTGATGCTCAAAGAGCGTAGTAGATTGTCAATTCTCTACTATATAGTATAGACTTAATTCTAGGTATTCTAGTTAATAATGCTTAGCATTTAGGTTGTGTTATGGATGCGAAGAGGTGATGCCTCTTCGCTGACTAAGCTTATGCTAAATCACATGACCCGTAGGGCTGGGACAAGTACTGTTCGGCCTTTCTTGCGTTTGTTCTGAGCGACAATCTCCAGATGCTGCGCAATGCGCTTTTCGTCATCCGCTGTAGGCTTTCTAGGCCGCTGCCATCGGATATCGGCATCCAAAGACTCTCGAAAGGAGATCCTAGATGGATCGTGTGGGCGGTGAGGTACCAGGAAGTCCAATCGATTAACCCACCACTCCTCCGTAATCGCTTTAGCATCCTTCCATTCAGGTCCAAAAAGTCGCTTGAAGTTCGGCGGCGTGTCTTCACCCATAGCGACCAGTCTTCTGATCGGAGCTGTAATGCCAGTGAAACCTCCACTGGTGATGGAAGACTGTGGGAGGCTGATACCAAGTCTTTGACATAGCTGTTGAGCCAGAGGATCCAAATGTGCTTTCTGCATCCAATAGTTTATGGAGCGCTCCAGAGGATTTGACATGGGCGGAGACAATTGGTACTGTTCCCTGTCATAGCCGGCGTTTGCCAAGGAAATTGCGTCCTCGTTATACTTCTTTTCCACAAGCTAGAATTTCACCCTGAATCGATTTTCAGCCTCAGCCTCCTGGATCAAATTTTCAACGGCCTCGAATAGCAAACCGTTGGTCGATGCGTCTGCAACTGTCTCGTAGGATTCACTCTCTTCCCATTCTTGGATGTGATGGCTCAGGCATTTTGCCACATAAGCGGAGTGGGTTTTAATAATGACTGTAGAATTGGAGAGAGGTTTTATTTTGAGAACGTCCTCTGTTTGCTCGATGGCTCTTTTGACAGCATACAAGACGGCAGCATTGATTTTCTGGCTCTCGCTCTCCGGGAGTATGTCGCCGTCGTTCACCCAGCCACAATCTTTCCCAAACCAGGCTCCAAATGCTGCCTTGCCAGCTTCGGTACCGTTCCGTTTGCAGGCACCATGTACTGAAACGACAATGGCTTTGCGTAAGGGGTTCCAAGGCGAGCTATTTTCTCTGTCTTCTGGCATTGAAAGGTGAGACACGCCAGTCTTGCCTTCACAAATCCATTGAGTAGGAAACGTCCTGGGGACTATTTCACAGGGATTGAACAAGCGTTCATCAACCTGAAGTGCCTGCTGAATTGCTTCCAACTCCATAAATTTGAATTAAGGGGGGTGGTAAATGTGTTTGGGAGGTTGAAAGGCTGTAGAAAGGGATGTAGTTAACGATTCGGTTTGCACGGATATGGGCTGAAACCTTAACCTCATCACGTGCTGATTTTATTTACATACCCACTTACTACATGGGTCTAGATAGATTCCAAGAGTATTTACTGATGATGGCTCATTCAAATCTCAAGCCAATCGCTACTTAAAGCTTGACTCGCAATCCGAGGTTTTCATTGAGAGGTCATGTGACCTTCATTTCTTCTCGTGACCCATTAACTCACCTCCAAACGGCAGGAGGTATGCACCAGGAACTAAGCACTTCTTTTCTTCGCCTTACAATGGAGCCGAGGCAGATTATCCGATCTCAAGCCACAGATTCTTGGTTTCTGAATACAATTAGACCAATATATTTCCAATTCGTTAAGCGACTTCCCCCTATTCGAGCTACGGTTACATTTACTTTCTCGACAAGGCAACGGTTGATCCGGAACCATGACACCGAATCGAGTCTTCGAACCCACCAAGTACGCGACGGTAGATGATGAAGTGCATCTCATCTACGAACGGCGAGCAAGCGTCCAGCGAATCGCCGGCCATTGTAATCGACATTATGGGCAGGGGCAAAAACTTCACTGACCGTGCCCCCCGCGCAACATTTGGATTTGGTGTCTACTTCGGCCCCGGTTCGGACCGCAACATAAGCGAACATTCCCAGCCGACATTCCTCTCAACGATAAAGCGGCCCAGCTCTACGCAGCTATCGTGGCGGTGGACGTTGCGAATTCTTGGATGGAACAGGTTTCGCCACATTTTCACGAGGTGTGTGACGTGGTGGTGGTGAAGACGGACTCCAAGGCGTTGGTGCAGTTCATTAGCAAGTACGTCTGGATTTGGCAGGAGGAAGGATACGTGAATTCAATTGGTAAACCGGTCGATATTGCAGATGGGTGGGAGACTTTGCACAGGAAGTGTCTGGCATTGGAAAAATGCGCAGTTGATGTTCGGTTTTGGAAGGTACGAGGAAGTCAGATTGGACAGGCTAAGGATTTGGCAATGCGTGCTATCGAGGATTCGAAGAAGCTCTGAAGATTGTGCCGGAAGAAGCATTAATCTTACTTGGGAGGTATAAGAGCTGGATAACCCATGCATACCACAGTTATTGCTACTGGAAGAGGTCCAAGCATGCAGATATTGTTCGATTAGGTGTGTCAATTAATCATTCTTCAAAAGAAATTTTGGTCTTCTTATCCTTGTCGAAGTAACTACTGTCTTCTTCGCCTGTTTTCGGATTTTGCCCGGAACCCAAAGGACTTTCCATTTCTCTTACTACGGATTCCCTTGCTAGCATCTCATGAATTTGTGGGCTGTCCAATTCGCTTCCCACGGGCTGTGGGCTTGCCAGCTCCAAACCTAGGATCGGCGTCCCTGCAAGTTCGGCGTTCCGTTTATCCTGTTCATGTGCTGCAGCCAGTTCGGTGCCTCCAAAATTACCAGACAGTTCGGATTTGTCTTTGGTGGGATCGACTAGTGCAGCATCAGCCTCAGCGACGGCAGCATATGCCGATGGATCTGTGGTGGAAACATCAGGGGAACTCTCGGAGGCCGGTGCGGCAGGTTTGGGGTGTCGGCGACGGTAGACAAATAAGTAGAATAGGAGTGCAGCTCCAACAATCAATGCAATACCACCAACGACTCCTCCTACAATCGTACCAACTGGCGTGCTGGTATGCCTATGAGTTTCTGTTAGAGTACCATTTGTGCTCGTTGAATTAGCGGAGGGCGGCAAGATAGACTTGATATCTGACGTGAAAGTCGATGGCCATACACATGGCGCAATGGTGAACTCGGAACGATCGTAATCTGCCACTAAGTATGCTTCTTGCAGGAATGTTCGGCCAAGTGTGTATTGCGTGTCATTTTGTGCGCGCTTCAAAGGGAAATAGTTGATCGTTCCTTCTGGAATAACTGGAAACGAGGCGTTTAGATCAAAAGCTTTGTATGGTAATGTTATGTCGAGACTTTGGCCTTCGCTAGTAGAAAGTGTAAACGTGATATTAGGATTTATGTTCTGGAGGGAGGTGTGCATGGTGTCATTGAGGGTATAAATTTCAGTAGTGTCGTTCCAGGTTAAACCAAAGGCACTCTCGAATTTTTTGCAAATAGCACCAGGGAGATAAATGTAGGGAACGGTAGAGTCTATATATAGCGAGATTGGATCGGATGCCAATGTTGTGGTTGTAGTAGTCGTTGAAAGCCCTGTAGGGATGTATTTTATTGCGGAAAGCTGGACCAGAAACCGTCGAGAAACCGCATCATAGAAATGCAGAGTGATGTTTTGGGACGAAAATCGAGATGCGTCATAACCTCCAAGAGTTAGAATTCCTTGAACCATACTATATCCTGCACATATTTAGCCCTGACTCATTTCAACTGAATTGTCCACTTACTATACGCCGCCCCCGCCGTGTAGCCCCATGAAGTACTTGGGATTCGCGACTGATTGCGGAGGGTTGCTAAATAGCTGGCTTGTGGATCGTTTAGAGTCGTAAAATTGCTCGGTGTTGCATCGAGACCGAATACACCTTGCCAAAATTCAGGAGCTGCAATTCCAGCAACATTTTAGTTGTCGAGAGATGGTCCACCGCTTCCTGGATAACCTAAGGTCACGGTTTCATGGCCATATTGTCCATTCCCTATAGCATCATCAGTATGTATTCCATTCTACACTTCTCGATTTCTGCCTACAGCATCCGGTCTCAACGTACCTGTATATTCAAGATTCATTTCTAGCTGAAGCGTAAATAAACCGATGTTTGTCCAGGTTGTCGAGTTGTCGATAGTAAAGATGCCACCTCGATTCTTTGCACAATCCGAACCATATTTATCGGGACATCCTTGAGAAACTACAACCCAAACTTCGTTGCCTGCGGTACTGATCATAACCCGCGCAGATTGCGCAGGTGTGCCAACCTCCACGATAAAAGTGCTCCATAAGCCAGCTCCATCATTGTCCCTAAAATCAAAAGTGAGCCTGAAAGTTATACGCTGAAAAGTGTCAAGTACTATACCATGCTTGACTAGTCGACACAGAGATTGGTCGCGGTAGTGAGGATGTCGTGGTTGTCATACTCAAGTTTTTTAGTTAAGGGGAAGCAGTCATTTGGAAAGAAAAAGGGAGAAATTAGATTCGCTTTCGACACGTAAAGACGAGGCTGGAAAAGGAGCAATTGGGGAGAACTTCGAGGCCCGCCGATAGAAATTATGGAAGCGGCTATAAATAGAAGTTTATCAGAGCGTCCGTCACAGCCCAGCTGCTGTGAAACTTAATTTATAAGTGTCAATCTGAATATTGTCTTCTGTAAATTACAAACTCCTACGAATCCTGCGGATCAACCCGCATGCATACACGAATGGAGAGGTGCAAGGCATATGAGGTGGTGGTACCTTCATCGTTGGATTACCGCCCCCGCCACCCGACCCCCTTCACCACCATCCCGAAACCAAAGCGAAGCCGACATCAGCAGAAGGCCACACTATATAATAGAAAACTTGGTATAATATTAGCATAATAACAATGTGTTCAATGAATGGGACAACGTCTCTACCTAATTAATCCGGTGAAGTAAGCCATATTAAGTGTATTAGATCGGGGGCAAGCCTGCCAATTGAAAATAAACCTGTCACAAAATCACTGGAAGTAATTCGCACAGCAGGATATTTGTATTGGATCGCCCAAACCCCTGATTATCATCGTAGCAGGCTCTATTGTTCCAGTCTCTATGCAACGTAAACCTTGTAATCCATGCATAAAGGAAGGCGTGGATAACTATGTAGTAGTTCTCGAGAGGATCGCGAAGCATACGAATGTGGGATTGATGGCGTTTATCACAGATTAGCTATCAAAGTATTGTCAACTAAATAAAGAAAAAGGCATCAGCCGACAGAGCCCCCGTTTTGGTGTCACTGTGTCACTACTCAGGTCGCGCAAGTCAGAAGTGGCGGCTGGGCTTGAGCCAATGGGTTGTACTCTTCTACTAAAATACCTAGACTAAAAAAGCCTTTTTCTTAGCTTTGAGGTTGCTATAGATCTTCTAGCAGGACTCGAGTTAATCGTGTTTTGATATCTTCATCCGCTTGATAGGTATCTGACTAGCAAGACAAAGTCATGTTACCCTCGGTATCCTGTATACACCTCATAGGCGCTTTATTATGCGCCCAACAAACTCTTGCCAGATCTTTCTTAGAGGTTAGTTTCTGTTAGAGTAGTGGCCCAAGAACCGGTTGAAAATCTAACACTCATAGCAACCGCCTCCTTTCGCAACTCAACAGCAACGAGATCTAATACCTCGCCATCTCTGGATCCTACATGCTGCTATCTTTGGCCAGATCACCCTGGGGTACAAATATGGTATACTAGTACTATTAATATTACTGTCAAGACTATATCAACCATAGTATACCGATATCACAACACTATGGTGACGAGTCTTCAAACAGTTTTGGTCAATAACACGTTACCCACTGGCTATTTCACCACGGGAGGACCAAGTGAAGTACCAACGAATCTAATACCAGGATCCGGTGACGAAATTGGTAAATACTACGGACAAACCACTCTCGTCACTGATACAGCCTACACTGACCCATATGGTGTTGTGTACCAGGTAGGCTTATTCTTATACCAAAGTTGTCTTTTTTTCCCTTTGCGCAAAGGAGTTGGAAGCTGAGTTAAGGGCTTATTTGCAAGCTCCCCAAGTAGCTCTTCGCCTCCTTAACTCCCTTGAAGCACTTAACCTTTTACTATGCTAATTGGCTGCACAAGTCGCCGACGCCTATTTGGATGTTTTCAGACATGTATTATGATAAGGTCTCCGCAACATCGTCTGATGGATTTATGTGTGCCCTCCCTCTTCTTCTTCCACATCCCGATTCGGCACAAAAGTCGAAAATATATCTTCCGGTATGTTACTGTTCTTTTCACTTTGTCCTGCAATTGTAGCCCTATTTACACCCCCAGCCAACTTCTTTCTTTGCAGCATGAGCTGGCATGTCGAAATAACACCTTATTTTATTGACCAAAGACAGTTTTGCTAATAAAGGACTTGTATATGCAGGATTTTACTTGGCTGGCAAGCCCAACAGTCTCAGACCCGGAGGCGAATTTGTCGATGAGCTTCCTACAGAGTTGAGAGATTGGATCGGGGCTAATGTTCCTCCGAATACCTCCGCATTCTTGTCTAATGTAGCTGAATGCGGCATGGTCACCCATTAGCGTCATTTCCGACATATCACGTACCCGTTACTCAATTCACAGCTGGAACAATAATTACGAAGACTATGTCCGGGAATTTCGGCAGTGTGTTGGCAACTGCATCTAGCGTTCCAGTTACACAACCAGAAGTGACAAGTTCGAGTTTGAATGCCGTTTCGTCAATCATTATCCAAGGGAATGGAGGGACCCAGAGCCCCGTGGGTGCAGCTAGTGCACCAGCCTCAGGTCCCGCAAGCCAATATACTGTGAAACGAGTCTTCACAGCAGGAGGTTCAACGTTCTCCGGCAATCCCTCGGTCGGCTTCGTCATTGGCAGCTCGACGCTCACACTAGTGGGCACTGTTGTTATGTCAAGTGCTGGCGGCGCCCCTACTACCTATGTGCTCCCCAGCAGCGGATCAGCAGTAATTGTCAACGGCGCGACCCAAAGCATTCAAAATGCAAGCACCCTCACACCAACCCGAAATCTCGTCGTCGGCTCTTCTACCATTGCAGCCAACTCCGCATCTGCTTTCGTGATAGGATCCCAGACCCTTACTCCGGGTGGTACGATCACGGTCTCTTCCGCTGGATCTGCACCTACAATATACGCTCTCCCTATCTCAGGCGGCGCTATAATTATCAACGGCGCCACTTCAGTCCTCAGCGCCTCCGCGTCTCCAGCCAGCGCGCCCATTCTCGTCTTGGGTTCCTCGACCCTCACCGCAAACTCGGCATCGGGCTTCGTGATCGGGAGCCAAACGCTGATCCCCGGAGGTGTGGTGACAGCTTCGGGCGAGACGCTAAGTCTTGCGGCGGGGGGGAGCACTGTTGTGGTTGTGAGTGGGGGGACGACTCAAACGTCGAGTTTGGGGGGTGTTATTGCTAGTGTGGGGGGGTTTGCAACGGGGGCGCCGGCTCAGTATACCGGGTCCGGTGCGGTAGCGAATAGGGCTGTTGGGGCTGGGCTGTTAGCGGTGCTGTGTGGAATGGTTGGTGTTATGTTAATGTGATGTAATATTGATAAATACCTGTTGAGTAGAAAAATATGTTGTAGAGCAGTGATGAATGAAGACAAGATTTAATGCTAGAAATAGAACTAAGGAAAAAAGATAAAATTGGATGAATGAATCAAGATCTAGAAATCGAGTTCCATGGAATCTATGTCTTTTCAGGATCTTACAAAATGTAACACCACTAGCACTCTATGGCTCATAAGGAGACTTGGCTCTTGAACCAGTCAGGGGAACACCACCATCCTCAGTAACGAGAATGGGATCTTCGAGCCTGACACCATAGCCGACATCTCTGCCCAAATTTTTGGCTTGCTCGGTGGTAACATATATCCCCTTTTCGATTAGTCAGCGTTCTTTATATCCCTACTTGCATCCCACTTACCGGCTCATTTGTAACCACCTCTCCAGCCTTTAGCTTCTCTGCATTGGCCCCGTTCAAATACGGATGCTCGTGCATTTCTAATCCCAGACCATGTCCAAGTCGATGCGTGAAGAACTCCCCGGACCCAGCATTGGTTATCACGGCTCTTGATGCTGCATCGACATCCGAGCACGTCTCGTTCACTTTCATGAGTGAAATGGCCGCTGACTGCGATGCATGGACAACTTGCCACACTTCCCAAAGATATTTCGAAACAGTGCCGTCTGCCGGCAAGACTGTGCGCGTAACATCGCTTCCGTAGTCATAGAGTTTGGATCCGATATCGATCAGGACAAATTCGCCAACGCCAAGCGTCTTTCCCAAGGACCCTCCATGGGGATTTGCAGCTTGTTCCCCAAAAAGCACAATCGCCCAGTACCCCTCCCCAACACCAGCTCTCGAAAACAGAGCCTCCGCAGCATCAAAAACCGCCTCTTGCGTCACCCCAATCTTGATACATTTCTGCAGCGAGCGGACCAACTCGAGGGTAAACTCATTGATGCCTCTTAAGATCGCTAACTCGCCCTCTGTCTTTACAGCTCTCAGTTGCTGAACCTCCTTGCTCATACCCACAACTTCTACGCCCGCCTCCTCCAACCCCGCCGCGATCATGTATCTCACATGCTCATCCAGCATTACTTTCTTAAACCCCGTCTCCCTCTTCAACACCTCATACGGAACCTCTTCTTCCTTCCACTCGTAGACATTTTTGCTCTCATACACCATTTCCAGTCCCGCGATACGCCCGAGCTCGAATTTGGGCGCCAGATAAGAGAATTCGCCATCCTTGGAGATGAGCACGAGGAACGGGCGTTCGGAAAGCTCGAATGAAGATGAGACGTTGGCGTAGTAGCTGGTTGATGCGGATGGCTCGGCAATAAAGGCATCAACGCCTGCTGCATCTAGCGCAGCTGCTAACTTTGCTTGCCGGGAGAGGAATTCTTTGCGGGAGATTGCAGGGACATCTAAGAGTGAGACGTGGGATTGAAGGGTTTTCCAAGAGCAGGTTTCAAGCGATGATGAGGAGAGAGTGTTGAAAGCTTGGAAGGGATGGGCGGGTTTAACGGTGAAGTATGCGCTGATGGCGTAGACAAGTGCTAAGGAAAAGATGCCATTGATGATTGCGTTCCGAATAACCTTCCAAGAGAGCTTCCTGGTGCTCAAGATGCCCTGTCCTAGCAAGAGTGGTGCATTAATATCTTCCTTGGAAGGTAAACCCGCCTCCTTTCGGAATGAACTGCCAGATATTAGCTTCGGGTCTCGAAAGGCTGCATGTGACCTTACCTGATAACCTGTTCGTGGAACTGAGTATTCCCGACGAACTGCTGTGTGACGGAAATCGGCTCTTGATTGTTGAGCTCTTGCACTACAAGATCAGACTTAGGTTTCTTCAAATCTTTTGTCCAAACAGCAGCTTCCGCGGCATTCTCCTGCCACACCCCTTCGGCTTCCGCCTTCTCTATTGCAGCCGCCTGTTCGGCCTTCCATCGCTCGGCGTCCATCGGTTGCTTGGCGTTGGTAATGCCTTTGACTTCTACACTCCTCTTCTCTTGCTTAGCGCTATTCTCCTGTGTCCTTAATAGGCGGTTTGCGAACTTTAGGAATAAAGGGAAGAGCTTATGTGGCGTTGCGGTTATTGGTCGTGATAGCTTGACGTTGAAGAAGGGTGGGGGTGGGGTCGAAGTGTTGCCCCGCCAGCTATCATGTGACTAATACCCCTTTTCAATTTCAGGGACGTCAACACAGGAGGGTGGAATGTTTTTCTAGCCATACACGACTAAAGTCAACCGCTATTAATAGATCAAAGAAGGAGATTTTCTTTGTAAATACTAGTCTCGCATTGGATGGATTCCTATATTGTGTTCACGATACATTCTATAATTCAACGGTGATTCAAGAAACCAACGCACGAATATTTCATGAACTGCTTTCAGTTTCCAAATATCTATATCAACTGAATTCGTAGGTGGAGAGTAAGATGAATGTAAATATGCCTCAAGCACCGGTTGCTACACTCTATGTAGCCCTGCCTACGAGCCATCTTTCTCTTAGTTTATCGTTATATAATCCCGGCCACTCAATATCTTCCAAATTACTTTCAAGGCTCTGGATACTATGGATTGGTATGTCGGATCTTCCGTGGAAGCTTGCCGTGAAGTTATTTCTCTATTGCATCCGTCCTTACCACTTTTCAACCTCATGTGTTTCTTAACACCAGTCAATACTTCGGACCTGAACACCCCGTGGCTCGCTACAACTTTCCCAAAAGCAGCAAAGCCCTTCATAGACTCGTCACCCGACTTCCAAGGTGAGTAAAACATGTACACAGCCCTTGCCACGATCCTAGCACGCAGTAGCGAGCCATCTGCCGTATTGTCGTAGACTAATCGAATACCCTCCCAAGATATAAGTGTTGCGCTCGTGCCATCGTGCCAGCTGCCCCATTCCAACAGAGCTTCAGAAGCAAGCTGTGTAAGGCTTATCTTGTCGGCCAAGATCCAGAGACCAAAGTACTTCAAGTCGCGCAGAGGGATCGAGATTTTTTTGCAGTGCTCGCATGGGAATTTTAGCCCTCCAGTGTACACCCAATCAACGAATAACCCAAATGAATCTGCCCTGTCGTCTGGTAGGTATATTTCCTTTGTGATGCTTTCCTTGAAGCCGCTCTTGAAAGCTGCTCTGAAGAACGGGATGCGATCACAGAGCATTTCTTCATTGAGGATCCACGCCTTGCGTTCGGGTCCGACGAAGACTTTGATAGTGTTATTGGTGGTGAGATATCTGGACTCGCTATTAGCCATAAGTCAGCATTTTGATCTTCGAGTACTTGCTCGTTGATCGGGCGGCGTTTCGGCTCTTCTAGACGGAAGGTAGGCACCATCATATAGTAGGACCGGTCGATATGGGGTGGTGGTAGGCTGTATGTATTTTATAATAGTTCTTGAGATGTTATCTGGAGAGTTTTGTCGAGGTTGATAGAAGGGTAAACTCGTTGTGAGTAGATATACTTGTTGCGGGGTGCAAAACATGAGGAGCGTTAAACCTAATCTGGTCCAACTAGACCCCCTCTTGCATTGCTTCCTACGCATATTCATTCATTAATTCATTCCATTCACGTTCTATACGAGTTGAAGACTACCTAGGTAGGTATTCATTCAGGTTGTGTCATGCACGTGACACCTGGCATTGACGAGGCCCTATCCTAATATGCAGTCTCCTGCTATAAGTAAAAATAAGGGAAGGCAGAAGGTGTTGTTTAAGCCTACGTATGTAAAAGAAACGCTATGCTTTATATAGGGAGATGAAACTTCAGATGGGGAGAAGGCTTCAAGCAAGGCTTGCAACCTTTTAACTTTCAAAGGTCTAATAATCAAGTATAATGTTCTGAAAACAAGCTCTATAGATTATAAGTAACGTTTAAGTTTAGGACCAAAAGCAGGAGGTTTTTTATTTCAGGCCAGTCTAAAACTAAACTCACTTTAGAGCAAATGAAACTAGTCTCATAACATGACTGATTTGATTTGATTTCTCTACGGCTTCTCGGAATGCTTTCACTATGGAGTGAATACAAAACACCTTGCTAATCCTCTAATCACTGTCTAATACAAGATCGTTCCCTTTGCTATCTTAAGCTTGAACAAAAAAGAATTTCAGGGTTCTTGGTTACTCGATAACTAGTTGTCCTGAGGGCCTTGATCATCCACCATCCTCCTGATTGCCACTATGTTGTTTAAAAACAGCACCTTGATAATTATGCATTCGGCACCAGTGTACTTGACATTCTAGGGCATTGATCAACGTGTGCTCGAAAACCCTTTTCATCAGGTCAACAGTGAACTCTTCATGGCCCGTAACAATATCTTCCAAGCTTTCAACACTCATTAACTCGTAGTTACAATTTTCATCTCCAGAGTAGTAACGCTCTACCATGATATCGATGAGAGTGAGGCGAAGAGCCGAGGACTTGGCGGTGTTTTCGTAAAGATACCGAAGTCCGTCCTGAGAAAACGTAACTTTGTTCAAGCTGTGCCACGAGGCGCATTGCCACAGCATTTCGATGGCCTCACTAGCCAGCTTTGGCAGATGAATCTTGTCAGCGAAGACCCAGAGAGCAAAAATATCTAGGTCGTACGGATCGCTGGGATGCTTCAACGATGATTCCCCATCTTCTAGATTGAAGGAGCAATCACTGCACCTGAGGTAACCGAGAAAGACCCAGTCGACAAATACCGCGAAAGCCTTTGGGTTGCCCTCGGGAAGATCTATGACTTTCTCCTTCCCTTCCTTGAACCCCGATTTGAATGCCGCCTTGAAGAATGGCACCCGGTCGCACAGGAGATCCTCGCTCAGTACCCATTTCTCTCGCTCCGGTCCAACGTAAATGGTGACTTGACTGCCTCCCTTGAAGTAGCTATCGAGGGACATCAATTAGCAAGCAAGACCTTTCTGTTGTCAAGTGGAGATGGAGGACCTACACGCTCAGAGGTCGCCATACTTCCCTGCTCGATTCTGATGTATTGCCTCTCTCCTCTCCTGAGTCCTCAACCGTGTCCCACGAAGCCATGCTATCTCGATCTTGCGAGTGGTTGAAGCCAAAGATTGTGATTGAGAGTTGTTATTATTGCAAAGCGTTGTACACGAGATTTAGGTTAATGTTCTTTCATGCCAAAGAGAACATTCTAGTATGCTGACGTCGCAGACCGCCCCTTTCACCCCATTCATTTGAAATGCCCCAAGGTCCTTCGATCTCCTCTCCGCGCATTCACTTCAGCAGACTCCGACGATATGTACTGTAATGGGGAAGATGAGTCTGCATATTATGGAGGCTCTTGCCTCTATATAAGTCCTTCTATTGAAAGCATCCAATAGAAAAAAGAATAGACACCTTTAAACGGCCTTCTTTAACTATATTTAATATGATAATGCCCACGTGAACCATACGACACACCGCTATATCTTGGGGATGCGGTATACTCCATGTATGCACCTCTTTAGTACTTTTTCGATCATATATAGAGGTTTACAAGTAACCTTCAAAGAAAAGGGAGGAATTCCTATAAGTGAGCGAGTACTTAATAGAGGGCCGAGAAATAGTTATCAGAACGAAGTCACATGTATGCACCAATTTCCACACCTGCATTTGATACTTTTTCCATAGGTGGAGAGGTAATCTTACCTACCTATCTATACATTATCCTATTTTCATAGCTAGGTATCTCAAGGTAAAGCGAACTACCTCAGCTATTTCTATACAGCATATAACATAACATAAGAAGACGATTTCCCTTCACATCTCGTGGGCTAGGACCGGAAAATATGTATGTAATCGACAGCGTGGATGATGGAGATGGAGTTGGGAGAGATAGTTATATCTGGTAATGCGGTGAATAGATATCGAACGCCATGTTAAGTGATATTTCAATCTATTCCAATACTCCCAAAACACCAACCCCTAAACAAGATTATCTGCGTCTGCATCCTACAGTCTGAAACCTAGACTCGGATTTAGATATGTCTGTATGCCTCATCCCACCTCTCTTCCTTCTTAACCTGCACTCCACTTCCACTTCCACTTCCACTTCCACTTCCACTTCCACTTCCACTTCCACTTCCACTTCCACTTCCACTCCCACTTCTACTCCCGCCCACATGCTCGCAATCAGGCATATGAACCTGCTCCCACATGCTACCATCGTACTCATCAAGTCCCATCTGCATCCCCATGCCCATGCCCACCGGCGAGTACCCGCTGCCAAAAGCACCACCACCACCGCTCATCATAGGCGTGTGCGCATACATACCATGCTCTCCAGCCGCAGAAGCAGTCATGCCGAACGAAGTCAGCATATCATTGCCATCCATCTCGTGATCGACATCACCCATCCCACCCCCACCCCCGCATCCGAAACTCCCTTGACTCTGACTCTGGCTCCCCGCGTCCTCGGACTCCAGATACGAGAGCGTGAGTGAGACCTGTGAGTCCGGCTCCGGAGTAACAGGCATTTCGCTCTCCCTCTCCCTCTTCACATCACCGCCACCACCGCCGACGATATCTGGAGTCATTTCCGGGGTCTCCAGCTTAAGCCTATGATCGATTTTTGCTTCTGTTTTCACTCCACTCCTGCTCTTGCTCTTGCTCTTGTCGACTTTGGATTTTCGCGGTGATGCTGGTGGTTTTGGCTCACGGGGTTTTCGGGGCGAGGATGCGGACGGTTCGATTTGTTTTTTGAAACGCGAGTAGCGCATGCGCGCTGCGTGGCCGTTGGTGATTTCTTGGCGGATGACCGGGTGTGAGGCCACTTTGTTCCAGTCGACCTGTGGGTGAGGGGCTGTGTTAGTGGGTGGTTGGATAGGGGGTGAGCGGTTCGGAGGTTGTGGGAAGGAGAAGGGAGGGAGAGGAGAGGAAAGGAAAAGGGGGCGGGGCGTGACGGAAGCGAAGGGAAAGTGGGGCACGATGGATGGATGGATGCACCTACGTCTTTCAGACATTTCTGACTAAGGA